TGACGCTCAAGGGTAGTGTGCATAGCACAGCCATTGCAGAAAGAGATCAATGTATCGTCTCTGTTTCCTCATTTCGGAGTACATAGTTCTCCTATGTCGTCATTTCTATCTATATATGGCACGTGACTACGGAGTCCTGTGGCTGTGGTGGCGCAGTTGCTTGTGGCTTGTAATTTCACTTTCCTTATTGGGATACAAAGCCGGAGACCCTCCTGTGGCTGTAAGGTACGTCTATAGCTGGAAGAGTATGAATAGAAAATATCTTTTTTGAGATGCGGCGGTGCTGGGGAGGCAGCTATGGCGATGGCTTATGATAGTCTCGGAAAGGAATGTGGAGGGAGCTACGCTGGACAGCGGTAACCCATAGCTTCAGGTGAAGATGGAAGCTCCCAGCTAAGCAGATCACTACGATTCAAGCACAATTCAGAAATTGGGTCATCTTACTCGTTAATTTCTTTTGGTCCTTTTAAGACCATTCAAGGTAGCTGACCCCGACCCACGCCTATCCATATGCTTATTTCCCAGTAGAAGACACAACTTTTGCGAAGGAAAAGCAAGCAAGAAATGACGCGGTGCGGGTAATGTACAATAATGAGGTGAGAGGTGAGGTGATACATTCCAACAAAAACGACACTAAGACGCCCCAGACGCCCTAGCCACAACCGTAAAAAGAAATATCATACACAGATTCGTAAAGTGCGATAGAGGCCCGGGAGGTTTCCCCAGGATAGATCGTTGACCATGTCCGCGGTAGATTCCGTGATTGGTGATTCTCCATCATGACAAGTTTTGGTATATAGTACAATTAGGAAAGGTGAAAGGTGAAATATGGTTTAGAGATTCGCGAAAAGTAATCGTCGACGGACTTGTTTAAGAGTTCCGGACAACGCCAACCTTGGCGGCCTAAAAAAAAACGGGTCAGCATTGAATTCGGTAAATTGTCAGGACGAGCAACATACTCTAATGGTCCTTCCGTTCAAGGTGAATCCCTTGCTCTGGGTGTGCATAACGTCACCGTCCTCCAAGTTCTCAGACTTGGCCATAAAAGTAGCTTCGTGCAAGTTGGGGTCGAACTTCTGGGGCTTGCCGCCCTCGCTGGCCTCCGAAGGGTCGAATCTCTCCAGACCGTGCCTCTTAAGCGAGTTCATGAGAACATTCTGGGTCATCTGCAGACCGGTGACGAGATCCAGCAAGTCCTTGTTCTCAGCCTCAGCACCGCTGAGCTTCTCGGCGGGGACGGCGAGGAGTGCGCGGTCGAAGTTGTCAATGCTTTCGAGAAGGTCAATGGCGAATTTCTGAATAGCAAAGTTGCGGGCCGATTCCATTTCACGCTTTGTGCGTTCCTGGAGGTTCATGAAATCTGCAACCGAGCGAACGTATTTGTCCTATTTCGGTGAGGTATTAGCCAAGTCCCGGACCACACTTCCGGATTAGTTTCCGTTAAGTAATAAATTAATAACAGGAATTCAGCGCACCTTCATGTCAGTAGCTTCCTTCTTCTTGTCCTCCAGCTCTTTGCGAAGAGCATCCTCGGGGGATTGTTCAGCAGCAGCGGCTTCGCCCTCCTTGCCCTCGGATTCAGCGGCCTTTTCAGTAGAGTAGAAGCGGTAAGCGGACTGGCGGATCAATGGCCGGAAGCTCTGGGGGAGCTGTGACTGCAGCTGCGATGGGCGGCGGACGGCCAACGGAGCTGTGGAAATCGAGCGGGAGGAGAGCGCAGACCGGGCAGCGGTCTGGCTTTGTCTGAGGATAGTTCTCTGGAACATTATGAAGAGAAATAAAGGGGAAATAGGAAGATAGAGAAAGAGTAAAGGCAGAGGGATTGTGGTGTGGAGGAGTCAAGATGGAAACCATAACAGAACTTTCTTTCGTCGGCGTCACATCACCTGACTGCCCGCTTTCGGAGTCGGCCGGAGAAACCCCGGCGGACTCATTACTATGTCCCTTATTTTCAACACAACATCGTTAAGTCTACTATGAGACGAAGGATATAATGCCAGGCTAGTCTGCTACTATGTGGAAACTCAGACACAGTGTTAGCCGGCGACAATTTCTGCGTCGCCGGTCAGACTGGCTGCGACAACACAAACATCCATGGCCGTTCGTGTTGACTTCCATGAGCTTTGCAAGCAGGGCAGACTCTACGAGAACTGTTATATCCAGCCCAGAAACAGTTGGCCGAAACTAACCCTAGTCATCCTGCCCCCAAAATGCCTCTCAGCTTACCCAAGCGAGAAAGTTGCGGCATATTACCACCAAACCCGCCGCAGAACACGACATGAACGCCTTGTTCTTTGTTTTTTCCAGACTAACAAATAAACTCGTTTTGCTTAAAGCCAGTATCTACCAACATATACTCCTACATAGCCAGGATCTTCGTATCTCACCTCATCAGTCAGCATCTCAACATCCGGCAACCCGACGCCGACGGAGATAAGGGAAGAAGAGAGCGGAAACAACGGCCGAGGCAGACGAGCAGAGCTAAGCGAAGGATTGGGGATCCTCGTATTATGTCTTACTGCTATGATCTAGTGTCAGGGTCTGCGGGGATATTGCATGGATTGGGTTGGGTAGATTGCATTGGTTCATGCTGCAGGAGTATGAGGGGCCATATGAGGGCTGGCTAAACGGAGGCCGACCCTTGGGTAAAAAGTCCATGGTAGATTGCTGGCAATATAGTTGGAGCCTGTAGTTTTATTATATGTTCTTTTGCCTGGATATTAGAGAGCTGTGCCGATATTCTTGAGTATGGGGTAGACTTGCCATTGTATATCTCGGGGAATTTGGAGACATCAACCCCTCATTGACTTCCCCCATCGGTTATAAACATCCCACGGCAACTGGCTGAACTACTTCTACACTTATACCTACACCTACACCTACATCGCAACTATCGATCAACCTACAATGACTCTCAAATACGACCCTGAATTCGCCCAAGCCGCGGCTCCAATCCTCTCTGCCCCCGCAGCAGCCTCCCCTGCCGCCCTCTACGATGTAGAAACCCGCCGAACACGAATCACAGCCGCCTACGCAGCCGCATTCAAGAAATTCCCAGAAACCCCCGACGTCGAGCACAAGATCTACCAAATCAAGTCACACGATGGCCAACTCATCTCCGTATACCACTTCCACAAGAAGTCCGGACACGCGACGCCCGGCTCGGCGGTTTTCCACACGCACGGCGGCGGTACCATCCAGGGTGACGTAGAGCTGTTTGTCCCGCTGCTTGCGAATGAGGTGCAGCAGACTGGTGTGCAGTTTTTCTCTGTTGACTATCGTCTTGCACCTGAGCATCCGCATCCGATTCCCGAGGAGGACTGCTACGCCGCGTTGACGTGGGTGTACGAGCACGCGGATGGGTTTGGTATTGACCGCAGTCGCATTGTCACGATGGGTGAGAGCGCGGGTGGTCGTCTGGCGCTGGTGATGAGTCTTATGGCTCGGGACCGTAAACTGTCGCCGCCGCTGGCGAAGCAGATTCTGATCTATCCGATGCTGGATGACCGTAACACAACACCAATCGCAGCGTTGGAGCCGTTGGCGCTGTGGAGCAATGATGATAATATCACTGCCTGGACGGCGCTGCTGGGCAAGGATGTGATTGGGACGGACAAGGTGCCAGAGTATGCTGCGCCGGCGCGGGTGCAGAGCCTTGAGGGGCTTCCGCCGACCTTCATTGATGTCGGGGAGTTGGATATCTTCCGGGATGAGGATTATGCGCTTGCGGGGAGATTGGCAGCTGCGAATATCAGTACGGAGTTCCATGTGTATCCTGGCTTGCCTCATGCGTTTGAGGTGTATGCGCCAGAGATCGATGCGACGAGGCGGGCTGTGGAGCACCGCATGAAAGCTGTTACTTCGGTATAACCAGCTGATATTGATGAGAAGACAAAGTTTGTTGTATACGGATGATGAGATGAGCCTGAGAAGCCGCCTTGTACATAGTGTTGAATGTATGCAATGAACAGTCAAAACACGAGAAGTGCCATAATGCCAGTTGTCCCATTTGATCCTTCGCCCTCTGTTGGGTCGCACTATGCCGTATTCCGCCTTGTTCCGCCCCGAAGCTGTTGAGCTTCCTCCACAGTGAACCAGACGAGGGTCTCACTCTGTCGTGGCTGAGAACTGCCAGACAGAGGGGGCCATGGTTCCTTTATACATGCAGGCAGACGAATTTCCACGCGCTAATGGGGGGGGCTGTAACAGTGCATATTAGCAGTGTTGAGATAGTCTCAGATAGCCGCGACCGAGTTAGATCTGAAGGTGGTTTGTGGGGGTGAGGCTGAGTCCTTGGGCCCGGGGGCTTTCCGAATGTGGAAATCGTGAGGCTTAGAAGTGACGCATCTGTATACTCCGGAGTACCCGCGGATGCGGACAGAGCAGTCAATAGTCAATAGTCGCAATAGTTGAAAATAGTAATGGAAGATGAATGCGTTTGCCTGAATTGGGGCTTGTCTCCTTTTTCTTATGATTGTTTCTTTGTCAGTTACGGATTCAGATAGCGACAGGGTCAGGAATGCTGGGCATCTTTGTATGGATGAGGCGATGAAAGACCACATTCAAAGCAACCATGGTACAAACAACGGTCTACATGATGCAGTCCGAGTATCTGAGTCTAGACAACGTTTACCCGTGGCAACAAAATGTCAATCCTGGACTCTGTAACTGGGTTTGTGGCGATCCTCAGGGACAATGGCCGCAGGCTGTGCAAAAACTACTCCGGAGTACGCGTGCGTCCACTGTCCACTGCGCCTCATTCTTTCCGGGTTATAGATCCTCTCTTTTTAAACTTGTTCCATGGGAATTAACCATATAAAAACCCGCGGCTTGTCTCTGGCTGATTTACTCTCTCTCCAGACTCATCTTCATTGGTTGTACTGAATTCTCTCCTATCCTATTTTAACCGCCTACCGCCTCTACTTGAACATCTCTACAACAACCACCACCACCACCACCATTAGAATCACAACCACCACAACATACAGAACACAAACAAAATGACCTCCTTCAGCGCCAACCGCTCGCGCTCCTCCTCCACCTCCTCCCGCCCAGCTCTCTCCCTCGACCTCTCCAACCTCCCACCTCTCACCACACCAACACCACCAACAAACACCCTTCTAATCACCAACCTCCTCGACCTTACTCTCTTCCAACCTCCCTTGATCAACAAAATCCGCGAAACAATCACCTCTGTCGCTCCCTTAAACTCCTTCTCCCCGCTCCCCTCCCTCCGCCGCATCATCTGCTCCTTCCACGCCACAGACGACGCCGTCACCATCCGCAAAATGCTCGACGGCGATAACCTGGGCTCCCAAACCGCCCGCGCCAAGATCTACTTCGGCGAACCAACACCCATCCTCGATGAAAACGAAGCCCGCCACCCAAAGAACTTCCTGCAAGCTCCCCAGGTCGACAAGTTGTTCTTTATCTCGCCGCCGCCGTCCCCGCCGGCCGGTTGGGTGCTGCGCCAGGAGGACCCGCCGAACAAGGAAGTCCACGCGAGCGATCTGGCGTCTGCGCTGGAGAGCCTTAAGACGGAGAACTCAGGCTCGGGTGTTTCTGCTGCCGCTGCGCCTGTTGAGGAGATGGGGATTGATACGCCTATCTCGTTCACGTCGGAGAAGCGGATGGGGAGTTGGCCGGTTTCGGACCATCAGCGGAGTCGGAGTTCTACGCTGATTTATGTTCCTGAGGATCATGGGAGTAGCCCGGATTTGCCGGCAGTTATGGTTGAGGATACTACGACGGTGGAGTTGGAGGAGCCGAGTCCGATTGATATGGCGGTTAAGAAGATGCCGCCTAAGACGTCGATGCCGCCGGTTGAGTTGATGTGATTTTTTTTTTTGTTTTCGTTTTATTTTTGGATTTGACTTGTTTTCTCGGTTTATGTTGGTCTTGCATGGCGTTGGTGTTTGCATAGATTATGTTCTTGCACGGATGGCGTTGGTCTTGTTACGAGCATTTATTGGCTACTGTTTATGATCCTGGCATTTCGGCCAGTTGACTATCTGGTACATACTAGAATGAATGATAATCACTTTATCTAAACTGCCTTTTCTTCCTTCCTTCGATATATCAGTAGATTGATTAATCAAACAACACCACGGCGCTCTCCTTCACAACCCTCGGGCCCAAAGCAGCTGCCAACTCTGCAATAATTCCCTTGATTGACTGCGGATGCGCCATGGGCATTTGCTCCCATCCCACCAGATCCTACAATAGTCAGCTTAACACAATCCGAAAGTTGGAATGGGTGGGGAAGGTCATACAATCATATGCACAAACGACCCATGCACCAACAACAACCAATGATCCAAATCCAGCGCTTTGGTCTCCTCGACACTCAAAACACCGGGCATATGCAAATCAAACAATGAGACTTCCTCGTCGTTGACCTCGGCGTCTGCTTCGTTCTCACTTTCGCCTTCTTTGCTGGATTCCGCCTCGCGTTGCTCCCGGGAAAGAGAGACGTAGGGTTTCTGATCGAGCTTTTTGACGAAATCGCCATCGAGCGGATGCCAGGCGCGGGATTCGGGGTCGAGGACGTGTTGCGGGCGGAAGGTGCCCTTGTAGCGCATTTTTTGGTTGCTGTGGATGTAGTAGCCTGTGGATGGATTAGAGGTGTGTTTTGGTTTAGTTTGGTGTGCGGGACATACCCATGTAGTAGTATCGGTAGTTGCCCTCGATGGTAAGGGCTACTTCTCTGAGGGCACTGAGTTTGCCGAATTCCCAGGTTTCATAGTCCGGGTCGTAGCTACACAATTAGCTACCGTAAGACCAACCCCAGGTTTCCTATACTCACAAAACGTAAACAGAGCTCACACCACTAGGCATCAAATCCAAAACCGCCACAGCGATCAACTTCCCATTCAACCGATAGCACTGATGCCAGGAACCAAGCTTTTTCTCTTTAGAGTCCGTGCTGGCAGGAGACCGCTTGATACCGGAGCATAGGAAGCGCTGGAAATCCTTGGTTTTCCATCTGGAGACGTCTTCCTTGTGGATTTTGGTTTGGTATTTGAGGAAGAGGCCGAATCTGTGGGTGTTAGCAATGGAGGCTTCATTCTCCCTATGCTTATACGTACTTTGCCTGAGAAATTGAGTCGCCTTCGAGATTCACTTCGAAGCGATGAGCGGGTTCTAGTGGGCGTTTGGTTGCTGGGTCAATGGGGCGTTTTACGTTGGCGTATTCGGATTCGTGGACTGCTGCGAGGACGTCGAAGTTGCATTTTCGATGTTTCTTCTCTCTGTTCAATTGTTAGAAATCGTCTACCTGAAAAGGGTGAAGACGTACTGGCGTGTCTTGGGGCATAGGCGAGCTGCTTTGCGGAGATATTCCGGACCTAAGACGAATTTATTCCAATGATTGATGGCCTTGCGTTGGTCTCGTCTGGCTTTGAATTCGGAAGCTTCGAGTCTGTGCGGATTAGCACTGATGGATTCTCAATTAGAATATGGATGACTTACCTTATCGTATAGTGCGGACAGCATGATCTCTCCAAATTCGGCTTATAGTAAAGCGTGCCAGACCTTCAAACCAGCAATGTCAGTCAGGAGCTTAAGTAGCTTCATGTAAGACGACACACCTTCTCCAACCTCGATTCACAAGTTCCTCATAATGCTGCGGCCGGACCGAGATGGAGCTACTGTAATATGAAGCGCCTGAACAGTGTCAATGACCCTCTTACGGAATACCGTGGGATGATAGACATACTTCCATCCTCTGATTTACAGTAACCACACGAGTTGCGCTGGTAACCTAAAAAACAGGTTAGCTCCAGCCAAGACAGCTCAATTTCTTTCTTCAAGCATTAAATTATGAACCAGTGACAGAGCACCACTATCGTGGCTGGGGACGTCAAGACCCCCGCACCGTGTACACATGCGTACAAAACCCGTTCTAAGTGGCCACTTACCCAAAGGTCGGAACAGGGATAGTTTCCTCGCCTGCTCGGCGTCAATGGTGTCCATTTTGTGGTGCGGATCGGTTGTGGTTGAGGTGGTTGGTTGTTTGTGGTTGGTGGTGACGGTGGTTGTCGGAGAGATGTGGAGGCGGAGATTTGATGACAGCGCTCAAGGCGGGAACTGAAAATACGTGCAGGAACTGGCGTTTTTTGAGTGATTAACTGGTTATTTGTATGTATATGAATTATGATTTATGATTACTTTTTTTTTATGGTATGTAGCGATTCTGTAATATTGATACCAATACAAAAGCCATACGCTATGATGTTATGATGCTATCCGAGACGCCAACCCCTCGATATATACCCTCTCAACTCTCAATATAGGAAACAAGACGGTTAACACGGCATACCAGCAGGGCCAGTGTTGCATACTCGTGACGCATAAAAGCCAAATGACGCCGTGACATTCCCCAATATGGCGACTCGTCTGCGGAATGAAGTATGTGACTTTTGCGAGCGGGGCCAGGATAAGCGCAGCAAAAGACAGCGTAATGGCAATCCAAAGCTTCGGGCTCGTATAGAATATTTGGAGAATGAAATAAAGAGTTTGTCTGTACAGCGGACTGTCCAGTATGAGCAGACGTCGAGGTCTTCCGGGAGGGGGCTAATGCTGGCTGACAGCAAGCCGCAAACACAACTACTACTCCATCAGAGCCAGAAGAAAGGTAAATAAGACGTGCTCAGCAGGATACGCCCTCATCGTCAAGATAAACGCATTTGCCAAGCTACAGAAGCACCAACTCGAAAATATTCCCTATTATTCCCTATCGAAATGGACGAGTTCACACCCCAAACAGACAGCAGCAGAAACCACAATAGATGCTTCATGCGCGTTCCCATATGGTGAAAGCCAACCACCCCCGCCGCGACATGCAGGGATCGCAGATCATCTAGCAAGAAGAGCACGACTATCTCCCTCTGCCCTAGAAGATTTTACAGAACCAGAAACGATTGTCGAGCATCTGCTGGAATTATTCTGGACGTACCAGGCGTCGCAAGTTCTTGTTGTTGATCGCCAGATATTCCTGCGACATCACAAACTTGCGCGAGAAAGTGATGGGATCGGGAACTGGGATTTTTATACATCATGTTTACTTTATGCCATAATGGCTTTGTCGTCATTGATCAGTACAGACAAGGGTGTTAGGCAATACTCAGCGCCACCAGACGACATTGCAGGAGACTGGTTTGACCAGCGAGCAAGGATCTTATTTGAAGCGGAAATGGAAGTGCCTACGGTGAAGACGGTGCAGGCGGCTATTCTCAGGGTCTTGATATGGTACTTTTGTGAATGGCACGCTTGTATGGACGTTTAGTGGTATAAGTGCTGTCCTGAAAACCAATGAATTATTGGAGGCTGACGGTTTCAGGAATTGCTTTTTGCGTGGCCACCAAGCTGGGTCTTCAGCTCGATTGCTCGAGGGTGGTTGCTATGGGAGAAATGTCGGAAGAGGTAGCGCAAAATTTATGAGTGACATTTTGGGGTTACGAACGAGACATCAGCATTAAATTGAAGCACATATAAATTACTCTATTGCACAGGGTTCTGATTTCTCAGATAGCGGACCGTCATCTTTGACTCATGGTTCATCCATATATTCACGGTACATGCGTTCTTCCCCTCTTGTCCTGGAGGTATATAAGGGCTGCAGCATCCGTCGGAACGTATTGACGAGCATACTCTCAATTCCAAGTTGATGATATAACAGTCAAAATGAAGAGAACCGCCGAGGTTCCTGATGAGTAAGTGATACTTCTCCATGTTGTGTTGTTTGCGAGCTTATTTTTCCAGAACCGATGTCATCGAGAGATCGATTCAGGCTTTGTGTAAACAGCCAACGAAGACAATCGACAACACTGAAGAAGCATATCAGCTTCACAAATCGAACCAGAAATTAAGCCGGAGCCAGAACCAGAACTACATGTGCGAGTCCCTGGAAACCCTTGCTCAGATGACGTCGCGCGGCATTCCTCCTCCATCTCCAACAACCCATCCACCTTCTTCCCCAACGGGGCAGCAGCGGTCACAAAGCGTTCCACCAGAGCTACGTAGCCTCACGACAGAAGTGATACTCATCCTAGAATGCTCCGCGGGCCCCGTGCTCTTCTCATTCCTCCTAGGCGACGTAACGGTACCCTAGCGGCAACTCAAGGAAGCACTGGGGGTCAGAAACAGCAAGATACCGTAGCTAATTGGCGCTTTCAACGTAGCCAACAGCCCTTCCATTATCATTCCGGGGTCATTGATGGATCTCACTCTGCCCAAGAGTCTCATGGTGGGCGCGTTTAGATGGCTGACAATCTGGAATGACATTGGGGTATTTTCGATCAAACCAGGGGCGGCAGTTCTTTTTTTTTTATGGTGCGTGCCATGCAGGATCTTGTTGTTAGCGTCTTGGTTTTTGGGTCAATGAGTATCCTTGGGCGTGTGTATAAACCTGGGCTTCGCTAGAATCAAGTGTTTTCTGTTATGGCGGCCACAGCGCCTTTGGGGTTTTGGTTGGGGGCTATACAGGGTGGTGCTCTGTTGGCTTATTTCCTTGAATTTGGAACATATCGTCTGCTATCATGACCAGTGCGGCGGATGCGGTGGGGACGAGTATTCATGTGAAAGCGTCTGGGGAGGTTGGGCTTAAGGGGTTGCAGGCTATTTGGTGGTTTGGTCTTGCGGCGGAGATAGTGAGTGGGATGATTACTGTTACGTTTATGAGGATTCCGAAGGAGGAGAAGGAGCATGTTACTTAGTTGCTCTGTTAACTATAGAATAGAGTTATATAAGAGACCGAATAGGGAAAGTGCGCAAGTGTCAAGTTAAGCATGGGATCCTTGTCAGTACCCCTGTATATATTCTAGTCGTATTAAACGATTATCACGAGTGGAATAAGATGCGTTGTCGTATCCAGTTCAACGTTCAATCGCATCAACATAAACAACCACGTGCTCAAAATACATAAAAGAACCCCATCCCATCGCCCGGCATCCGGGTCCGACTACTATCGACAAGTGGCCCCAGATGCGGCGCAGTCGATGTGGATTACAGGCCTTGCATTCGAGCGCGGAGATCTCAAGACCTTGGAAATCTAACCGACGACGATCAATGACTTTTATTTCGCGACTCTTTGTCTTGAGCATTAACAAAGAAAGTTAACTAGAGCATCAACCTCGTATGCCCCGCATCCACATCGTGTGCTATTCTCATGCTCAGGCTTCCTGATGCCCAATGCGTGAAATTTAACGAGGGGGCATCAGACGATGGTTTACTTGGCAGAATGGCTCTCAATGATGAGGGATGGGGGGCTTCGCCCCGGGAGATCTCAACACGTAGTCGAGGGGGTGCGTTAGGTCTGCAGCTCATTTCGATCTGAGCGGCATTTTGTGGGGATGGGGACATGATAGTATACGAGTATTCAACAGTATGCTCTCGGCCATGAGGATAGTAGTCGGTAGTAGTTAGTACGGAGTAAAGTAGTAGTACATAATGGTAGTCGAGATCTATAGATACACGCTAGTACCAAACGGTACGGTACATCAGTACTGTATGAATCCAGAGTCAATATTTTTAATTAGCAGTGGCCACCATCCTTGCTATGTACTATGCACACCGTTTCATACTAGCAGGTCTACTCGGAGTACTTGTATATACCGGTGTGCCTGTACAGACAGCTCAATAATTTGATGGAATGCATAAAATTAGCGAGGGTTGTGGGTAACAACCGCATCGGGAGAGTCAGGAAACGGGACTCTCCACCGGCAAGACCAGAACTCTTTTCTAGGGTTTTCGCTAGACAACCATGGTTACTAGTAGCAGCGAGGACATTAATAATGTGCATAGTTGGTACTAGAATGGAATATTTCAGTACCGGTCATGACCATACGGTACGGTACCATACAGTCGGTGACTCCCCTCCGAAACCTCCCACTTTCTTGTCCTCCGCCTCCGTCTCTGTCTGTCTCCGTGTCTAGTCTTCATCCTTTCTTCTACTTCTCCTTCTAATGCCTCTATGATACTTCTTTGATTATGATGTCTCTTCCCATTCTTGTGTCTCTACTGCAATTCCCGTCCATACCGGGAGTGAACGGGAATACTAGTACCTGATATTCTTTTTCCTTCTCCGCAATCATTATCTCAATTTGCCCCAGAAGCACCGAGAAAAAAAAGTTCCTTCCACCGAACCCTCCCTCCCCCCTTCTCCCGAACAAACACCCTCACCACTTCGAACGAGCAAGGCCCTGTGCCATCTTTTCCCATACGGGGAGCTTCTTCAGGCTCCTGCGCGGTATCCTGAAAGTCATTGACTTTGGACTTTTGACTTTTTCTTTACCGTTCCGTTCCTTTTTCTCCTGTCCTTCTTGCTACCGTCGCGTGGGGTGTAACCGGAGTGGGAGTTTCTCTACCTTACGATCCTTCAACCCGCTCAATCCCTCTATAAGGAGTGTTTTCGGGGCTCGTTTGATCTCTACGATCTGTCAATGATCATGGCTCCCGCTCATTCCATGGAGTCGCGTACTGGCCGGGTCAATCAACGTGAGTTCTTTGTCCATTCCGCACGTTGACCACGTGTACCCCTTGTCTTAGCCGGAAACGGTCTTTCGGGTACATTGATACCAAAAATCGACTGGCCCTATGGAATTCATCCCATTCGTTGTCCTTGTGAACATAGCTAATGTCTCGTGATCATAACAGGCTACGGATCCAAAGGCGAACGACTCGTGGCCGGCATGGTCCCCTTATCGATAGATAAAACAAAAGTCCTGATGATCCAGTCATCAGGCCCTGGCGGATGGGTGCTTCCCAAAGGTGGTTGGGAAACGGACGAAGATAGTGCCGCACAGGCGGCGCTTCGGGAGGCCTGGGAAGAGGCCGGTGTGATCTGCACCGTCTCAAGAGATCTGGGTCTCATCTCAGACACGCGTCCTTCCACATTGTTGACCGCCCATGCACCAAAGGCGTCATATCAGTTTTTCGAGGCCACTGTCAACCGGGAAGAGAAGGAGTGGCCGGAGATGCACAAACGCACTCGGAGATGGGTTGGCTATGCGGAAGCCGCCCAAGCTCTCGCATGTCGACCAGAGATTTTGGAGGCATTAAATCGCAGTTCCATGGTTCGGTAGCGATTGCTTCGGTTCATATATACACTTGGAATCACCCCGCTTTGACGGAGTGTCGATATTCCGATTTACGACTTGAAACGATTTTCAGGGACTTCAGAAAGAGCGAACTTCGCTTTCTGTCTCATCTCCCCTCTATACTGCTCTTCTTTTTCCGACTTTCCCTTTATCCTTCTTGCTATATTTGCCATGAATCTGCAGCATTGGACGTCCAATTGCTTATACACACTCCCTCTTTTTTTTTTTTTTTTTTTTTTTTTTTTTTTTTTTTTTTTTTGACACGACTATGGTCGACCGGATGGCTTTGCGCACAACATCAGAATAACATAGAAGGTTAGAAGAGCGCAACCGGTGAGATCCCAGTGTTGCGCGGGTGCCGTTTCGAGTTACGGTTTATGGAGAGGCTGTTTGATTACCAGGTGGCAGCATTGATTGGTTGTTTCGTTTTGCTTCTTTCCTTTGCTTCGCATTTTCTTATTTTGCTCAGAAGAGACAGGCCGCAACCTCTGTTGGCTCAGAATATCTGATGAACCGGTCCTGCTTGAGAGAGAGACCAGCCTGGAATACTCCAAGTTAGGTATCTGCCACAACCAAGACATTATCATTCTCTGTCTCTCTGTCACCCGTTGACCAGATTGTATGGGTTTCCCAGAGCTATCTGAGAGTTGATCATGATTTGTTCTTGATATGTAGTTTTTCTTTCTGTAATAGTAGTATGTATAGTAGTGAGTGTATTATAGGATTGGAATGGGTGTATGATAGATATAGAAATATTATATGAACAAAAAAGATCGATCAGCATGTTCCATGTAAGTGTATAGAGAGGTTGATTTAGGCGTGCAGGGAGCATCTCAATCGCCCAATCGGGAAAAGCGCCACTCCAGTCTTGGAGTTGAGCCGCCAAAGGCTTCATTCAACCATCGTCAACCTCCGAATCGTCCCCGTTCACCACCCACGCTCTTTTCTTCTCACCTCTATTCTTTCAGGGACTTACTCTATTTTTTTTATTATTTTGATTCCCTGGGTTAGAGTTCAAAATGGATTATGAAATGGACATCGAGCCCACGGGGCCTCAAGTCACAGTACGAGAGGTGAGTTACGTTGCTACAAACCAGGAAAAGATGAAGAAAACCAGAATAGAAAGAAGCTAACTAACCAACAGGCCGAACCATACCGCGTCGATTTCAAACTCAGCTCCGTCGACCTCGCCTTCGCCAACTCCCTCCGCCGAGTAATGCTCGCCGAAATCCCAACCATCGCCATCGACCTCGTCGAAGTAGAAAAAAACACCTCCGTCCTTCCCGACGAATTCCTCGCCCACCGCATCGGCCTCGTCCCCCTAAACTCGAAAAACTGCGACCAGGATGTCGAGTACACGCGCGACTGCGAATGCGAGGACCACTGCGCGCGCTGCAGCGTCACGCTCTCGCTGCACGCGCGCTGCTCCGGCGACGAGATCATGGTTGTGTATGCGCGGGACTTGGTGGTTAGCGGTGAGCGGGCGAACGAGTGGGTGGGGAATCCGGTGATTAATGATCCCGAGGGGAAGGGGCCGTTGATTTGTAAATTGCGGAAGGGGCAGGAGGTTAAGATGACGCTTATTGCGAAGAAGGGGATTGCGAAGGAGCATGCGAAGTGGATGCCTACGGCCGCGATTGGGTTTGAGTATGATCCGCATAATAACTTGAGGCATGTGGATTATTGGTATGAGGAGGATCCTGCGAAGGAATGGTACGCGCCCCTCCCTCTACTCTTGGAAATTGCAGGAGGCTAATCGATACAGGCCCGTCTCTCATAACGCCGGATGGGAACATGCCGCACCCCCAGACCAACCCTTCGACTACGACGCCCAGCCGAACAACTTCTACGTCGACATCGAAAGCATCGGTAACCTCGAACCAGACATGGTCGTCCAGCAAGGAATCGTCGTCCTCCAGCGCAAACTCGCTTCCGTCATCTCCGCCCTCTCCGGCGCCGGTGACATCGACCGCAACGGCGGCATGGGCGGTGAAGACGAGGACATGATGGGCGTTCGGAGTCCGGACGCCTACGAACCCCCGGAGGGTATCGACGGTGGTTTCACGGCTTACGCCAACGGCGGCGCCAGTGCTTGGGGTGCCAGCGCAGCAACCCCGTACGGAGCTACGCCGTATGGCGGTGGCTATGGATTCTAATCAACGCTCCTCTTTTCCTTTTTCCTCCTTTCTCCTCATTACTCTATTTCGGCTTCGACGGGACTGGCTATTTGGGCAAAAAGAAAAGCGAAGAGAAAATTTATACATCGAGCATCTGGATCGGAGTTTGTCTTTGGGATTGTGAGCTGTATAGCAACATCTAGCTGTGTTTATGTGGTTCAGCGGCGCTATTTGGGTGTTTTGCTACCGATATTTTTTTTTTGTTTATATTGAATATCTAATGCAGGCTTTTTGGCATGATTCATCGAATTTGTTGGTGTAAATGACTCTAGATATTTTCTAAATTGTTTCGAATTGGCCAGCAAATGAGAGGAACACAGTCGCAGAAGCAAGTGGTAACCCTGCCCCCCTAATGCCCTTGGAGATGGTGTATACCAAATCAAACGAAACGATAAAACACAGATGACAAGCGTAACCAACGAATGCCAAAATGAAATAATAGCAGTGATTCTCGAGCCTAAATGCCCAAAAGACCCTTGACAAAAAGGGGGAAATCATAGGGAAAGGATGAATGGTGAGATTAATTCTTTCCTGCAGTTACATATCACTCTTCGCCCATAAGATTTTCTCAAATATTCCCACGGCGCTTGCCAACTCTCTGGACCACAGAGCGATAGCATTGAAAAACGCTGGCAAGTAAAACCGGCTTGGGTGTAGAGATTTATGTGTAGACATGTTGAATCATGTCACGCAACCGTCTTGACGACGCCCACGCTCGTTTGTTGGGATGGTGTAGTGAGTAGTTTTATGCTCAAATCTTGATCGCGAAGATCTTATAATGTCGAGTGGCTTCTGGGCTATATCTCTGTTGTCTTTGCTCCCCTCCTGTAACAATTGGCCATGTATCTTTCCAGTTGGGAAGTCGAAAAAGCCCACATCCCACAGCGAGCCCTCGGGCTGTTGTGCGAATTTTCGGATCAAACTTAAAGAGATTCTTTGGAAGCAAGGCTTCGAGCTTATGTCGATCACTGAGGGAGTTCATCTGTTCAACAATTGCTTCTCAAATAGCGACGAAGCTCTGAGACCGACGAGTCTCTATGCGTAAGAGCCCAGAGATGTACCCTTCGACGATGATATGCTTGAAACTCGTGCAGGCTTGACATCTCTTTTCTGGGAAGGAAATAAAGGTGGCAAGATACAACGTCGCCCAGGATGGCTTTGCACTTCATTTAGATAACACTTGCATTGGATTCCTGCTCCATCAACGGTCTTCTCTGGATTGCCGCAGTAGGAGGGAAGTAGTTGAATGCAGGCTTATTGTTGTCAGTTGCCTGTCTCCTTGGGTCTCTTGCGTATGTGACCCGGGTCTTCCGTCTCAGAGCTGGTGTTTTCGCCAATAAACTCGACGGAATCGTCTCGGTGGCCAATTACAACCTGGGTTGCACGGTCATGACCCGTCAGAGGGGAATACGACACATAAGACTGCGTTGTCCTTCTGAGACCGAGGGCCATTTGTCGGAGCGGTGGTCAACTACAGTATGTCTCCATGATGCACTTTAAAACACCACAATGGCTGCAAAGAAATTTCTTAGAGGGAAATTGTCAACAGCGAGCAGGGGGCTGTGCGACCCCGTGGTTCGATCATGGGTTAGAGTAAATATCATGCGTAAAAGTCACTGTCTCTTACTGCGCATTTTGACAACAGAGGCCAAGTAGCTCTGCTGTGAGCGTCTTGATCGAGCTTTCTAGGTGTATCTCAGCAAACAGATGCTGCATCGCAGATTTTTCTCAGGATGGCCCATGGGTGTTGTTATCAAACGTAGTGAGCTGGATTTGGACCATTACTCAATAGAGCTCCTCAAAACTTATGGTGAGAAGCAAGTCATACGTGCCTCTCTGTATGTTTGGGCTCTATCTCACCTGTGCTTGCTTAAGAGCTCCCTGCAAATTTCCGATGATGCGCGCCCATCTTCAATCTTTACTGAAATCCCGGAGGACCCCCAAATGACGAGCGACAGGGGTAGCGTGGGTATAGACCCGAGAGATCGGACCGTGGCAATGCTTTTCGGATTGTATGTTAGAGGGTCCAACACAGTCTCGCTCCTCTGTGAGTGCAATTGGCACTGATTTGAAGGGCTTCTTGTAATCGAGCGTTTGCAGGATGCTGTGACGATCGTGGAGGTAATGTTTAGGAATCATGGTCACCACCAGAGCTGCGCTCGACGATTGTGGGGATAAATCAAAGTAGTCTAACCCTAATATATATCCCAGAGATTAGGGCCACAACTTCCGCAAAATTATCTACCAGCGCGTACTGCGGTCTCCAATATGATAGTCTGGAAAGGTAAATATTGCGGCGAGGCGTCTCTTTTTAATCAGATCAATGGCTTCAGTCTGGATTTTCACTCACTGTACCCAGAGACCTTGTGTCTGTGCTTTCTATTCAACTGAGGGACATGGTGTCGTATCTGTCTTCAATAGTCAGGAGCTGAGAACTTCTGGAACAGAAGGATGAGCTGTCAGGGTCTCATGTGACATCAGATTAACATATATGACTCTGGACCCAACGATGATAATATCACTGCCTGGACGATGTGGTTGGAACGTGGGCAAAATCAATGAGGTCCTAGCACATAGTAAACACCTTTATTCAGCATCAATATGCTGCGTACCATTCACCAAGCAATAATCGAGACATCGAAATCTACGAACCCCGTATTCGAAAATCTGACATTCTCGAACCTAGAAAGTGGCAATAAAACAGTCGAATTATCTATCTAGGCAATGAACGGTCTTTATAGACATTTGTGTGGTGCGGCTTAAGCCCTTGTTTGTCCGTATTGCTTGTATGGCATCGTTTGATATGTTGGCGCTGTTTGTCTGGCGTTGAGCTGTTGAGCCGTCACAGTGCCCAGTAAACATCTTTACCACCACTAGGCTAATACCAGAGATTACTGAGAAATTTAGTGGTACTACTTTAGAGATTCGTGCTCAAGCAAGTGATGTGTGAGCATATTTGGAAGGCCGCATTTCACAAGCTGGATCAAAACTCTTGAAAGAACACAAGGAAGAGATCAAGAGTAGGATTACAGAGGTTGTGGATGGAATGTCTGTCAACTCTCATATCATTTACTCAACTGGACTGGAAAACTGACCATTAGCCTAGGTTTCTCCTTGCACAGCTTCACTTCGACCCAATAAAAACAAAGAAGAGACTCAAGAAGGTCAATAAAACCTTAGAACACCTTTAAGCAGGGCCTGAAGCATATACTGAGGTATATGAGGATGCTGTCTTCATTGCACGGTTGGCGTTGTTGGCGTGTTGATGTCGTTTGTCTATATCGGCGTCACTGCAGCGTTGGGCCGTCACACCTATCAAACATGTATGTACACACGCATCTGGTTGAGTACTTAATTAGCTATATACATGTACACACTGGACTATATAAAGAATCTCCGAGACCTCGCTACTTGGGCCAACCATTTGTCCGATCGATTCTTATCACATACAACAGGCGAAGCGGAATCGCCTATCTAGTAGTTAAGCTAAATCTATCATACACACTGGCGAGACTCCCCTGCGGCGTGACAAATATCATATAAAGTTACTTCAACCTAACTAAACTCACTCTTACTGGTGCTTACCAATCCTAAATATGCAATAGCATATGATGTTACAGGATTGAATCCATTGTGGTACAAAGGAGATGGTATTTGTCTTAACAAAATGTTCCTTAACTGTACATTGTAAAGAACATAAGACGCTTGTAAACCAAAATAGAGCTTCGTCAATGATCACTGAGAATTGCTTGGATCACTCTTTATTACAATGACACGAGTCCAGCTTGGTGTTGACATTCCAATGCTAGCCTCCCCTGAGTGGAACCTCACACACCTGTTCCGTGGCACCTCTCTGCATGATTTAAAAGATGAACTTTCTGTTCAAGCAGCTCCATCCCACAGACATTACACTCAACCCCTTTGGTTGGCCAGGGAGGATTGACATGTTTTCATAGAAAATGCCTGGTGAGTGAATCGGGTGTTGCGTGTTCTGCAATCCAATTCTTTAGTGGAAGATTAGCGTTTCCCAGGCAAAGAAAGCAGAGCTTAGGTCGCTCTTCTGGAGGCTTTATCAGTATGGATTCCATCAGTCGGCGCAGGGTAACCTCAGTCTTGTCCTCTGAGAAATGCTGTTGCAGTTTGGCGGGAGGACAGAGTTCGTCATTGTCAGGTATAGGCCGGCAGTGAGATTGTCTGGGCTGAGATCCATTGCCAGTGCTGTACCAGGTCGACACCAATATGCTGACAATATCTGCCAGGGAGCCACCAGTAAGCTTTCAACATAGCCTAAGGGTCAAGAGAGTTACCTACCTATTCCAGTACATGCGGGTCTCATCAAGTATTTCCTGAGTGCCATCGCTGTACCGCTGCTGTCAAAGCTGGCAGACATTCAAGCTCTCTGCTTGGGCCAACTAGTGTTCAGGAGGCAGCTGGCTCTCATCATCGGAGATATTGTCGCCGGGTTCATCTTCATCATCTGAATCCTCACTATCAAGTTCCGGGTCACTGGTGGAGTCACTATCAGATCTGTTGTCTGAAAAGATCTCGGTCAGGTCGGAGCTGGCATCGGTCTGATTCTCTTTGTCGTCAGATCTGACTGGTTGGGAGCGAGGTGCCATGGTCGACACAGCCCGCGGGGAACTCGCAAACAAAGGAAAGCCTGGAGTAGGAGATGAAGAAGGTGATAATAACAGTAGTTTGTGGATGAGGATGGACTTTGAAAGGACAGAAAGTGCTGTGGGAGATGCTCATGGGAGGAAGGATGGAAGCAGGGAAGAACACAGTCAGCACAATGGGACTTATAACTGGAGAGAGCATGATGGTCAAGGGGGGAGCCAAAAAAGGCTCCCCTCCGCAGCGACCACAGCGAGAGCGTCTACTCCATACAGCTCATCCTGTTGTCCATGGTACTTAAGGGCTATTATTGACGAAAATTGATCCCAAGTCACAAGAAGATATGCTGATTCTAACCTGTGATGAATGCATAAGTATACTAACAGACTTACCGTCTGTAGTAGCAAGTATCTAGAGTCTAAAAATACTTTGCAGTCCGATCAACGTCTTTCCCATCATGTCCGGGTTACATATTGACCATGCCTCGGATAATTTCGAGAGTCCGTAGTCCCTTAATGAACTTGATATTTGCCATGTAGTGTTATCGTCGGTCACGACATCGATGTGATCGATGATCCGTGGGTATCAGGTTATCCAGAAGAGCAATAAACGGAGGAATCTTAGGATGACAAGAATAAAGACACTTAGCATCAGACTGGAATGGAAAATGATCGATGGACAAAACTCGTATCGATCAATGAGCTAGGGTCGTCCTATGTACTATGAGCCATGAGAATAATCGGTGGATCACCCTGTGCAGTTTCTCAGTAAACTAAGGCACGCGTACGGCATATAACTATCCAGTCAACGAGATGAGGCTTCGTAAGAAAAGCATGAGTCCAGAGACCGCACACTTTTCCCCAGAAATGACCAGTTCACCTAGTACAGGGTTACTACTACTTCCTAATATGGAGAAGTGGTAATACGCAATACTGTATTACGTATGTAACGGACCCCGCTTATCTAACCACCGCATAAATATGCAGTGAGATCCAACCTCTCCTCTCCTCCTTTCTTCCTACAACCACCCTTCAAGTCCCGAGGACGTCTCAATACCACCTCTTTTTTCTATATAATCGCCCACGGGCCTGAAACAGGCCCGTCCATACTATACAACCATGGCTTGCACCGCGAACAACGGAACCCCAGCGATTCAACTCAGCTTCATCGTCTACCAGCCCCAGCGACTCCAGCTCACAAAGAAACCACCATGGACCTGCGGTGCCGGATCTGACGTTTGAGTCTTTTGTTGACTGCGATGATCCTGGGCTGTCGTCGTTGAATTGGCCGTTCGACCAGCCCCTTGATGACTTGATTAATCCGGGGACGTTGGGGAGTTGGAATACGGAGAATTGCGCCCCTTTCCAGCCGTCGGTGGATGGTTTGGATATATTCAGCCATGGGGTTGGTTTTCCGATACCATTGCAGTCTTCCACAAGTGCCAGTCATGATTTAGGGGGTGGTTCTCTAGAGGGGAGACAGCAAGGACTTGTTCAGTCGCTTGACAATGGTCCGATATCCCAAGGTTTGTTCACAATACATTCTCTACTGGTGCTCTAGCTCTAACGTCTTCAGATTGCCAACATCTGCCGACTCCTCTGCCTCAACCCAGCACATCGACTCCTTCCTCCAATTCAACCGGCTCAACGTCCTCCAAGCCAAAGCCCTCCCGTGTAGAGAAACGCGAAAGCAATACCCTCGCTGCGCGTCGCTATCGCCAACGACGGGTCGACCAGGTGAATAATCTTGAAGTGGAACTTGAGAAGGTGAAGCAGGAGCGAGATGAGTTGCGGATCCGGGTCTCGAAGTTGGAGGGAGAGACGGAGGCTCTCAGGGGTCTTGTGTGGAAGTAGATCGGCTGCAAGCTAGTATAGGTTAATGGATCGTTAATTGTTGTACCCGGCTTCCGCGATGGAAGTACTACATTAGTAGATGTGTTTCACAGTTAGCTACCAGCCCGAAAATTGTAATAAAAAGAACACAGAGTATATTATCACATTTCAGACGATGTCGGCAAGAAATTGATCCATCATAAGAGTATCGGATCGGCAAAATGAATTCCTCATCAGGTGATATAGTAGGATTTGCTGATAAGCTGCATTAGGAAAGGTGGTAACTTTTGTACTTACATTTCATACAATACACCTCTTATGATAGCTTCTCTCTTGCTTTATTCTTATCCCCAGGAGGAAGGAGAAGGAAATATGACATATATTATATATACTACTAGATATCTTTAAATTCGCTATTATATTCTACTTCACCTTGTCCAAACTGCTCTGCTCTACTGTGTATACAGCATGTATGATTATGTATCATATCATTACCAGTAATTACCGCTAACAATGAGTAGAAATGACTCATGAACACGCGCTCTGATTGGCTGGGGGCCTATACTTATTGAGCCCTAACACTTGCTCACAATAACTCAACATGAGCCATCGAAGCAAGACATCTCTAGATGCTCTTTTTGTGACGGCTCAACGGCTCAACGCCAGACAAACAGCGCCAACATATCAAACGATGCCACACAAGCAATACGGACAAACAAGGGCTTAAGCCGCACCACACAAATGTCTATAAAAACCGTTCATTGCCCAGATAGATTTCCCTTTCTTCTTCTTTCCCAGATTTGATATTCTCGTCAATAGCTACAATAGTTTAGATAAGAATTCAGTTCGTTAATATCTACTATTCCGAGCCCGTGACATGCAGAGACTTTTAGCAAAGTCTTGGAGGTTGGTTGTTGGAATTATATATAGAAGTAAGGGAAGATGCATCTGAGAAATCTCATGTCTCCAGACTGTTTTGAGTATTAATAGATTAGTTGGTCCCTTACTTGGAATTTCTCTTTCTCCGGTTGATTGTACCTTCAGCTTTTGCTTATAAGCTCCGGGGAATGTCCCAAGCTTAAATTCAACTCACATGTCTTCTCTCGATATCCTCGGATCAATCTGCGACGATGGCTTTAGTCAATTCCCTTCTGTTCTACCTTCTATTTACCCTATTCATCGCCTTGACCGCTTGTGCATCTCTCAATGAAACTAATGAAGAATGGCCAGTCCTGGTCCTAAAAATCCTCCAATGCAAACCCCCCATTCATGAACATCACCAAATCCGGCCCCACAGAACCCGAATACATCTTCACCGCTCCAACCCACCTTGTAACTCAAGGCGGTAACCTGACAATCTACAACACCGACGGCGAACTAGTATGGCAGGGACCGCGTGGCAACATGACCTATTTCCGGCCGGGAATCCTGCACGGCGAGCAGGTTCTAGTCTACTGGCCTGGCATGGCAATTCGCAGTGGCTTTGGAGCAGGGGTTTTTCATGTTCTGAATAGTGCCTATGAGGAAATCTATCAGGTGACGCTGGATGCGGATGAGAGCTTGGTTTCTGGGTTCCCTGGGGAGGAGCCTAAGTCGTAACTTGATTTGCAGGATGGGTTTGTCACGGAGCGTGGGACGATCCTTGTTGGTGCGGTGAATGTCACGCATGTTGATCGCGATGCTCCACCGGGTGTGGAATGGGTTCTCGATTACTTGTTTTATGATATTGACATTGTAACCAACCATGTGTTGTTCCGCTGGAGTGCGCTCGAGCACCCTGATGTGGGTACGCCGGCAGAGTCTTTGAGATCTGTGTCAGGCCTTGGGACCAAAAAGGAAGAACCATGGGATTTTGTGCATCTTAATGGATTTGTGCCTTCTGGTGATGGCTATCTCATCTCGGCTAATTACATGAGGTTGTTATATTCAATCGGCAAGGACGGAGCGGTTCAGTGGAAACTGAGTATAAGAGCAATACACCTCCAGTTATGATCAAGCAAGACTGACATGATAAACCATAGGGCGTAAATGGCGGGGATTTCAAACCCGGCCCAAATACCCAATTTGCCGGACAGCACAACCCCTGGATAATCAACCAAACCCCCGACACCCTCACTGTCTCAATCTATAATGACGCCAAGGGCCCCAACCAAACTCACACTGGCCTCCTCCTGGATCTCAATCTCACTGCCAAAACCGCCTCCCTAAACCGGAAGCTATATGACCCCTCCGAACCCGTCTACACCCAGTCCCAAGGAAATTACCAGAGTCTCACCAATGGCCATGCCTTCCTAGGCTGGGGTTCAGCTCCTAAAATTGAGGAATATGATGCAGAAGGAAAATGCGTCATGAGGGCTTTGCTTGGATCTGAAGCGTATTTCTGGGGAACTCATACAGCCTTCCGGCTTCCATGGGTGGGGAAGCCAAATACGTCGCCGGAGGTATTTGCATGTTTGTTTCATGGTGCGACGATGGTGTATGCTAGTTGAAACGGAGCTACTGATGTGCAGGCATGGGATATCTGGACTGGGAATCAGGGCGTTACTGGGGAGGAGGTCGGGTATGTGGCTACGGTTGGGAAGAATGGGTTTGAGACGGAGGCTCGCGTTGAGGGGATACATTCTACTGTGATGGTTGAGGCTGTGGGAGGACTGAATGATCGGAGGCAGTCGGATCATATTCACGTACAACAGACTTGTTAATATTCATTTCTCATCAATAGTATAATAAAAGCACAACTGAGATGTATGTCACGGAGCATGGACGCTCGCGAGATGTATAGCATGTTTGATTACTTTGACCTGTTTGGCGTAGAACACTCACTGAGCATAGCTTAAACCCCTCGCACACACTAAATAGCTCGTCGCCGGCAGGCCTGCCTCTTTCCTTTCCCTTCTCATGTTAGAATGTCGTCAGATAGTCTACCAATAGATTCATATTGCTCGAGACCGTCACAATGTATATAGACAGCTAGCTGCTAAGAATTTTCAAGCACCCTAGAACATAGCCCGTTGAATAAACCCAGCAATATTCAACTATATGTGGACCAGGAGCAATGATTGAGAAGTGATTCACATCGCTCAACACTGCAATGCGCATCTTTTCCCGGCCAACCAAAGACACCCACCCCTCACCGCTGAAATCCGTCTGATTATTCACCAGCCAAACCACCTCACGTGGGGCATCAGGACCCATCTCAGGCCGCGGCATATCTGGCTTATTGCAAACGCCATCATGGGCATACACAAGATGAGTCTGCAGTGGAGCCACCGCTGACCCTTCATCCCATGCTTGCACCTGATAGTCATCCAACATCTGAATAAAGGCATCAAAAGTGCGGACGCACCCATATCAGCGGAGCCCTCTTGCTCTTGCTCCTGTACAGCCTCAGACTCTGGAAGAAGTCTGCAAGCTGAATGTATTCCCTAATATGCACACTAAATATTGAAAATATGGACACACCGCGACACGTTTTAAGCTAGGCATTTAAAGCGTCTTTTTGCCGTCATCCCTGCCATCATCCAAAAGAGCTACGCTGATCATACCTGGTTGACTACTCCGTACAGTGGTGTGTGATGTCAGAAGGCAGATTAGGAGTGGTCAAGTGTGAGGGGTAGGTGTTGGTGGCTAGCTGAAGAAGATCATGGTATTCTATTAGGCAGTGTTTTGTAAGCTAGCTTACGCAGCCCTAATGCAGGAGGAATTGGCGACGATTACTCTATACCTTGTCCATCTTGATGCTGCTGACGCGTCTTCAATGTTAGAGTTGTCCGAACCTTGGCTGGATCGGTCGAGGCATTTAACCACAAGAATGCAGGGCTTCTATTACTTAAACGCTCTTAATGGATACTTTGTCTCATGGACCAAGGAGACCCCACAATTTTTCTTTTTATTTTCTTTTTTAATTTCATTTTTAGGCCACAATAGCACAGAATCACCCAATGAGATCAATTGATACTGTGATGCTGTCTAGTGTATTCTTGGATATCGGTGAGATCACCAGATGAGATGAGCTGAAACAAATTGTTAAATGCCGCAGATGATGACTAAATTCACTGCAGAAGCGAGCTGAAGGATACCGGCAAGCTGCGCGTATTATAAGCTCGGCTAAGGTGTTTATCTGGATAGGTAGTTAAATTGACTACAAATCCCCGTCGCTATTGCGATACCGCGAGGTACATGACACACATTGCTAGGAAAATTTTTACTGGCGAACATTCTTGCTTTTATAAATACAGCTTTCCATTTATATGCTCCACCCTACCAACAGCCCCTCCATGGATCATCAACACGCTGCCAGTGAACATAATTCCTCACCAATCATTACCGGAGTACGCAGTATTCCCCCCCAAATCAAGATTCATGACCGAGTCGGTGATGAAAAATGGACATGGACAGCGTGTCAGCAGGATGGTGTACCAGCGTGGGCAATTCTGGACTTATGCAGCGGCCGGTCTGTGACAGAAATTAAATGGGCCAAATCCGCGGCGACAGGGGACAAGGTCAAGATTGTAGCGATTGTCAACAGTGTCGCCATTGTGCTTGATTATGCAGACAGCAAGCTTGACTTTATCACACGGATCACGAACTCGCACACCCTCGAGTTGTTGCCCGACAACTTTCTTGCAGTGGCCACGAGCGGCAACACCCAGAATGATGGTATTGCAATTTACGACATGAAGGCATATAAACCAAACTTTTTTCAATTTTCGAGCCCGGAACCCGTGCAAAATATCACCGGCTTTCCGGCCGTCCACGGATTGGTATTTGATCCTCATTCTCACAAGCTTTGGGCTGCTGGGAATGACAAGTCCCCTGACGGTAACGAAGGGCCCAGCCGACCTTTCTTGAAGGCATATGCTTTCAACGACAGTACGGCTGCTTCCAGACAGCAGCCAGTCAATCCGAATGCAGTTCACGCCTTTAATATTTCGGAACCAGTCCAACTCGATGTCGAATGGAAAGGCACTCAGTTCCATTCATGGTGGAATGGAGCACATGATCTAATTCCTGTGCCCAATACACGTACCCTGCTGATCACGTCAGACCTGGATGTTCACGCCTTTGACATCGAGGCTTCCAATTTTCGGCACGGCAAGGATGTGGCGTCACAATTTTTGCCAGGCTTCGTACCAGTGGGTGAGCGCATTGGAATGGATGGTCAAAAGCTTCCTCGCTCCGATATCAAGGGAATCTCGATCAATGCTACGGGAGATTATCTTTATGTGCAGTCCAAGTGGAAGGATTGGTTTGCAGACAATGTGCGCATCGTTGAAGGGGAGAATCAGAACACGTACCACGATGTAAAAATTTCACAAAAGGTGTATAAATCTCGCTGGTTTGAGGGGGTGGCTGGTTGGTCGAGTGTTACCCATCCATAGTGGTGAATTTTCTTGCATACAGAATACATCGAGCTTTGACTTCAACCCTCAATATGACGCTCCACGGGGTGGCTGTTGTGTGAATCCATTTAGAAGTAGCGTCAGCTGATGAATGCTGAAGGCTGCTATCGGTAGTAGCTTCTCATTTTCACACGCCGCTGATCTACTGATCTTCATCTTATTTGAATTTATAATCGAACCGACGCATAGCGAGTAAAGTATGAAACTGTCTTCCATTCTAGGCTCTTCACGAAGCAACTCCTGTTCCTTTCAATGGCCCACATCCTGCTTTGTTGCAAGATCCTATGGCTGCTCAGAATATTCAAGAAGATGTATGCCTTGGCGTCTTGAAGCTTGTCGTTGGATATGACTCGGTTCCTGCTCCATTTGCTGAAGATTTTGAGGCTTACCCAGGATTATCAAGCAGGCTCCTACCCAATAAAACAATGCTTATGCCTTTTTATGTGTAAGTGGAGGAGCAATCCGCGATGAGGATTCGACTAAGTCTGTAGGGAATCTTCGATAGTAGCTATTCCAGACCTCTCTCAATTCTGTTGTGGAGATCTCTTGTCCTTTCCATTCTCGCCTTGTATAACTGTAGGTCCTGCGGGCCTCTTTAATCTCTGGGTCCCCATCGGCGCTTTGATTGTGGGGTTCGGCCTTTACGGAACCAACGAGATGAGCTTCAGGGCTTATTCGGGCGATTGAAAGCAGCCATTGCAATGGTTGATGATATGTCAAGAACTTTTGCAGTGGACCAACTGATGAACAACTTGAGCTAGCTAATCGAGTTCAACCTACAAAGACTCAGACGTCAATATAGTCACCAACTATGACACTCATTGAGAAGAAACATCAAACTTATCATCATAGGCCCGAGAACGTCTGATCTGGACTTTAGCCAGGTGAAGACAAGAAAGTAGCACATCCGTACAAGGTGCGAATTTTTGCATTTCCTGCATCTCCATATAATTCTGATGTGGACGATTGCACTCCCGCCTTTGGCGTGGGCAACCTCAGGCCAAATTCCAGACACTACGTTTGATTTCCTGCTTGAAGACCTAGCAAACGAAAGATTTGGACGCCTTCCGCCTCAGGTAATCAAAAACCTCCATTCTATGGGAAAGGATTCATTACTCGCCTGTGACTCCTTCCATACTTTCGTACTAAGGTTAGATACCCTTGTAAGCAAATTGCGGTTGTCAATAACCGCACGCCTTTACCGCCACACAAACAGCGACATTTGATAAGAATCTCCGCATCAGCAAATAATTGTTCTTACAGCGTCGTTCTTTCCATGATAGTGTATCACAGGACGTAGGAGACTGGAAATTCAATGATGGAGCTCCAATCAGTCATTAGTCAGAAGTAAGATTTGGTTCTAGACCTTGTATAACCACATTTTGTGGGGAATATGATCGATGGCAGTGGCGAGAATAACAACGAAATCACCGGTGAGGCATTTATGCCATTGGCTTTGTTTCTCCAGAACGCAAATTTCATCCTCATCTGAGCGATTCAACCGCATGCACAGCACAAGGGATCGACATGATCAGGGCGAGAATGTGACACATGACGAGCACTTACGGAAAAAGATAAGGAGGGAGTTTGGGTGTAAGCTGCAATCAGCCTTGGGGAGTCTGTCAAGCTTGGTGTCAGCACCTTTCTTCAATAAGGAAGTCGAGAGAGCAGATACCATAGAAGAGCGTCCGGAAAAGTGAGAGCTCAAGTAAACGTATCTTCCGGTAGAGGCTTGAATAATAGAGAGTATGAATCAAATTCGCTACATAATAAAATAAAAGGGGACAGAATCAGCTCAGCCGCTGGTCAATGAGGACCAGGCAAAGGAAACTGGGAAGTGGAGTCGATGAGAGGGCGCTGTCACAATTTCCGAGCATAAAAAAAGGGTGTTATGGGGGGGGGGGGACGGTTTCAAATGGCCAGGAATATGGATGAGTGCAGAATATGGGAGGGTGTTTGGGAGGAAAGAAAATTTGGGAGGGGACGAGGTCAAAACAGTGAGGGAGGGCTCTTTTATACTTAGGAGGCCAGGCGGGCGGCGTTTACAGTACGGCGTATCGGGAGGCTACACCAGAAACGGCAAAATTCGCCGGAACAGGAAATTCATAGGTGCTCGTTTTAATCCTAAATCAAGCATGAATTGATCTCTATGTTGGCTGCGTAGCCCTACATACACTCCGAGAAACAAACTAAGCAAGCTTCCCAATCTCAGCACAAAGCGCATCAACAACATCCTGCGTCTTCGCCTTTCCACCAAGATCAGCCGTAAGAACACCATTCTCACAAACCTTCTCCACGCACTCCATAAACTTCCTTGCCGCCTCCTTCTCCCCCACCCAATTCAACATCTCAGCCGCAGACCAGAAAGTAGCCACAGGATTGGCAACACCCTTCCCCGTAATATCAAACGCACTCCCATGCACCGGTTCAAAAATCGACGGATTCTTCCTCGTAGGATCCAAATTTGCCGACGGCGCAACACCAATAGACCCCGCCAATGCAGCAGCCAAATCAGAGAGAATATCCATATGCAAATTCGTCCCGACAATAGTATCCAACGACTCCGGCCTATCCACCATCCTCACCGTCATAGCATCAACAAGCATCTTATCCCAAACCACATCGGGAAAATCCCCCGCAACCTCCGCAGCAACCTTATCCCAAAGAACCATCCCATGCCTCATCGAGTTACTCTTCGTAACGACCGTAAGCAGCTTCTTGGGCCGCGACTGCGCCGTTTCAAACGCAAACCGCATGATTCTTTCGATACCCACGCGCGTGAAGATTGCGATCTCAGTCGCTGCTTCCCAGGGGTGGTCGATGTGCGAGCGGCCGCCTTGGCCGGAGTACTCGCCTTCGGAGTTCTCGCGGACGAGCATCCAGTTGATTTGCTTGGTTGTGTTGAGTTTGCATTTTGTGCCGGGGAAGGTGCGCACGGGGCGGACGTTGGCGTAGAGTTGGAGGGGGCTGCGGAGGGCGAGCAACAGGCCCCAGAGGGAGATGTGGTCTGGGACGTTGGGGTCGCCTACGGCGCCGAAGAGGGCTGCTGAGCTGTGCGCTGTCAGTATATATATATTGAATGGATGGATGCTTGGGGTACGTACAACTGGCGCAGTTCGTCCAGACAATTAGCTGAGACGTATTTTCCATGCTGCTTGTAATATTCGGTTCCCCATGGAATATGCGTGAAGTCGATATCGAATGTACCGAGGGTTTGGGATAGTTCTGTCACGGCCTGGATGGTGGCGCTGACCACTTCGGGACCGATGCCGTCGCCGGGAATCGAGGCGATGCGGTAGGTTGGTTTCGCTGTCATGATTTCTGAGATGGATGTACAGGGATAAAAAGGTAATTGTTCCTGCTTGTGCTGTAATGTGCTGATTCCAGTCCAGAATGCACCGTTATATACTTCGCTCTTTGTCCGCTTGAAAGTTCACCCGATAGTTGAGCCGACGGTCCAGCGCAAACTTCAGCTTATTCGGTCCGGGCTTCTCCATACTTACAACAAAGAATCAGATGAGGGGAATCGTAGTCATACATTGCTTTTCATCTAATTACAGATACCATAATATAATTGTACAGACATCACCGCAGCTCAATCCCAAGCTGTTTAACCAGCCTCTCCCGCACCTTCTCATGTAGATCATTAGCCTTTTCATTCGTCAACGTGCGCTCCAGACTCCGGTAGTTGATCCGGTAGCACATGCTCGTCCTGCGCTTCTTGGGATGAGTAAACTCGTCGATAAGGGTAACATCTTCGACCAAGTCGCCGCCAATCTCACGGACGATTTCCATGACGTCGTTCTCGTGGAATGGGACGGTGCCGCCGGCTGCTGATACGCTCGAAGTGGCAGATGGTAACCAGAAAGCAACGTCTTTGTAGCATGCTGGGTGCTTAGAGAAGGGCTCGAAGCGGGTGATTTGCCCTTCCTTAAACTGGGAGAGGAACCGAGAATCGCGGGACCAGAAGAGACGAATATCGGGGATGTTAAAGAGGAGCATAGCAATTCGTTCAAGACCAAGGCCAAACGCCCATCCGACGCGGTTCGACACGTCGGAATTGTTAAGGAGGTCCTGCTTTATGACTCCACAGCCTAGGATCTCGAGCCAGTCACCCTGCCAGAAGACTTCGAGTTCCCAAGACGGGCTGGTGAAGGGGAAATATGCCTCAACCCACCGGACCTTCAACGGCTCTGTCTCGGCACCGCCTGCATGAGCGGCCGCTGCCTTGCTCGCCTCGGTAAAAATCTTGATCACCATCTTCTCCAACGATCGCTTGAGATGCGCTGCAATAGCCTCCACCTCTTCTTCAGTGTGGTGCTCCGCTTGGAGCGGATTCCGTTCAGCATGGACGGTGGGGTTGGGATCCTCAACAACGACATCGTGCGCAGGAATGCGCTTCAAATCCTCAATTATAGCCGCGGCTGTTTCACTCGAATGCTTCAACGGCTCCTGATAAGGACGCTTCCACAGCATAGCACCCTCCATCTGGTGGAAAACGGGGTAATGGCTGCGATCAATCGCATCTCTCCGGTACACGTCCGCAACCACGGTATATCCACACTCCTCCGGACGAGTAGTCTCATTGCGGTTGATCTGCTGGAAGTATGCCTGCTGGTGCGCACTGGTGTGTGTTCTCAGAAGAGTCGTTTCGTTGATGTAGTAGGTATCCGTACGGCTGCGGCCGGGATGGTCCGAAGGAAAGCCCAGGACATCGAAGTTGTCCCTCGTCGAGACGACCGGATTCGTTTCAGCGTAGTTACCGTATACGGGGCCGGGGAATTGACTCTCAATGAGTTTCCGCGTAATCGCAAGAGGATGGTTCTCGTCAAGATAAAGTTGGCGGCCAACGTGGGACAGAATCGATTCTCGCGCGTTCGTCCACTCGTCTGTCTTGTACGACTGTCCTTCGATCGTGAGGGTATCCTTCTGCTTGTTCTTTGTGCTTTGGGGGTTTAACCCGGCGACCTTGGCGGCGTCTGCATTTTCCTCCGTCCTGCGAGCAGCTGTAGAGCTCCAGTCCCTCCGTGGGGTTATCCAGTTCTCCGGACGATGTACCAATGACAGTATGCTGCGACGAGGGGCCGCAGTGGACCATCTGCCACTGCTAGCTCGCAGGGCACGGCCGGTGGCCAACAATCGCATAGCGCAAGATTTCTGCTGTTAGGCAATGGTCAATGGGGAGTTCTGCCATCGACAGTTTAACGAGACATATCGGGAAAATACCGGACCGGCAAAACAAGTCGCCGAAGTATGGATTACAGCATTACAACATAGGGCTCTACACCTACAGAATGCATTGACTAGGTCTCCAGGAGGAGAATACGGTGTAGCAATGCGTTTTTCCTTCTCTTCTCCCCAATAATTGGGCTTCCTGGGCCTATTATCTCATGCCAAGTTGCAACCAGCAAGATTCGGGGTACGCTCGGTCCTGACTCGTTCTGCCGAAGTTCGCTATTCCTCTTCTGTGCTCTATACAGGCACTGTATATGTACATTATAGTATTTCCAATGGCCCCAGCCAGAGAGAAAGGCCTCTCTATCAGTCTCCTTAACCTCAATATTGTCTTCTAGGGCGTCAATAAAAAACACCGATGCCAGCTATACAGCCGTATTACCGAAGTTTACCGTCAGGACCGACAAAACCGAGGCTCTGATTGGCCGCCATGCCACCGACGGCCGACATTCGGAGTCCTGATCTAATCCCGAACAGGAATATCAGTGACGATTCTCTTCTCCAGTTTCTTCCCTCTCCCACGCTCAATTCCTGTAGCGCTTTCTTGCTAGACAAGATGGCTACCAGCGCAAAGACGGAGGTGTCGCAGCCCGTCCGGGCTTCGGCTGCTGGAAAGGCGCATTATCCTTTCTGGTTTGGGGGTTCTGCCTCGTGCTTCGCTGCGGGTGTCACTCACCCGTTAGATCTTGGTACGTCAATTCTTTGATATTGAGCTTAAGAGAGTGCTATAACTGACTTTAGTGCTGTAGTGAAGGTAGATATTGCCTAAATTCTCCGCGGTGTTCCTCCCGAGTTTTTTTGTCCGATCGCTAATCGATATCGCAAAAGGTGCGCTTGCAAACGCGTGGGCCTGGCGCCCCGACGTCTATGCTGGGCACATTTGCCCACGTTGTCAAGAATAATGGAATCCTGGGGTTATACAGTGGTGTACGTTCATCCGGTCCAAGAAAACTAGAATGTCACTAATTGTGTAGCTCTCCGCATCTGTCCTGCGCCAATTGACCTACTCAACCACCCGATTCGGCATCTACGAAGAACTTAAATCCTACTTCACGGCCTCCGGACAACCCCCCGGCACCCTCACACTAGTCGGAATGGCCTGCACATCAGGCTTCATCGGTGGAATCGCAGGGAACCCCGCCGACGTTATGAACGTGCGGATGCAGTCCGACGCCGCACTACCACCCTCCCAACGCCGCAATTATAAACACGCCTTTCAAGGGCTCGTGCAGATGACTCGCGCAGAAGGTCCCGCGAGTTTGTTCCGCGGCGTCTGGCCCAACTCGACCCGTGCCGTGCTCATGACGGCATCGCAGCTGGCTTCGTATGATACGTTCAAGGGACTGTGCATTGACAACTTTGGCATGTCGGATAACTTGCTGACGCATTTCACTGCATCGTTTTTGGCTGGTTTTGTGGCTACGACTGTTTGTAGTCCTGTTGACGTTATCAAGACCAGGGTTATGAGTGCGTCGCCGACGGAGAGTGCCGGTCATTCGATCTTGGGTCTGCTGCGGGAGATCTCCCGTAAGGAAGGCCTTGGTTGGGCTTTCCGGGGGTGGGTTCCTAGTTTCATTCGTCTGGGACCGCATACTATTGCGACGTTTTTGTTCTTGGAAGAGCATAAGAAAATTTATCGTAAGTTGAAGGGTGTTCCGGAGGGTCAGCATGCATAGACTTTTTCTGCTCGCGAGGGAACGACCAGTGCAAAAGTTTTTGTTTCTTTGGTTGTACATATTTTGATCATTTGCTTGGGTTTTGCGATTTTTTGTTTCTTTTCTTTTCTTTTCTTTTTTTCTTGTCGCTGAGGACATACCCATCACTGCAATTATCGAATTCAGGATCTAGTGTTATATATACAGGTGGGATTGGATAGACAGAATGATAGACTACATCTCGATTGTTGTTCAGGAATTCAGAGCTGCATCTCGCATCTGATAAGAAGGCTACGGTTCGCACGTAATCGAAGTTCTTCAGATGGAGGAGTCGGGGATTGATTACCATTGTACCGTCTGGCCCAAACGAACCAAGAAGCATCCCCCAGTGGACTAGTATGCAATTCGCAAGTGCCAATGACCTATGCTTACACGTTCAATTAGACCATGAAGAGAAATGAACTCTGTGAGCCTATATACACAGTCCGGTTGGTTTGAGGAGCTCCACAGAAACTGAATTCATGCCCGCTTGATTCAAGTAGAATACATGTTGACATTCTTGGCTGGAGTCATACAAGATGAAGTGATTTACCGGTCCAATTGAACGGGGAAGTTACCGCCCTCTGCAGCATCGTTAGCATTGGTTGTCCCTCAAAATGCGAGTTGTTGCGACTTGAACATACCGCGTTGGCCGTCCCATCGGTCAGTCCAGGCCTTGGGGCAGAGAGCGCGGTAGGCGTGGTAGAACTAAACCGTTAGACCGTTGACCCTTGGAAGTCAATCCTGGAAGACTGGGATAAATACCTGGGTGCAGGGACGGAATTCCTCGCCCTTAGCCTCGACACACTTGTAGTAGTCGACGTAGTTCTGCCAGCAGTGCTTGGTCCTGCGCGCGTCAGTACCGGATCCGTATCTGCAAAGAGTCCCACGGAAGTACGTACTGGTTCTGCTGGGGGAAACGAGCGTCGTAACCTATGACCGGAACCGCGTTGTCAGTTTTCCACCATGCCACCCATTATCACCCTTCGCGATAACCGGCAAAAAGCTTCAACAACCGACGCGGGGCACTTTAAATCGACGGGAAACCCGTAACAAACATACCAGCTATAATCACATTAGCAATTGAGTCTGTTATACAGCCATTGGACCATGACATGATCGTAGGCGGAGTAATTTTCCAGCGGGATTCAAAGCTCACCTGTCACGAACTTGAAGGGCTTGGTGACTTGAGGCTCATCGGGGTCGGATTCCGGAATAGCACCCATTTTGACAAAGGAGTTCTTAAAGAACTAAGAGAATCGGTTTGTTTGTGGTGACGGAGGGTCGGGAGTGGGAGAGGAAGAGAGAAGAGGGAGGAGAGAGCCTCCGTTGATGAAACCAGCCGGGAATGGCCGCGGGCGGTCTAGCGAGCCACTCATGCAACGAGATTTCCTAACCACCCGAACTCTCGTTTATCCCCCGTCACCAAGACTACTGCAGTCCTCCCTCCCACTTTCGGGTTATTCTCTCTACTCTGCTCTTCTCATCTTTACCCCAAGCTCACCATGTACGCTACTCGTATCATGCGGCTCCAGGCCACCCGGCCTTACTTCTCTCCGGCTCCTGTAAGTGTTCCCTCCGACCGTGCGATGAGATAATTCTGGCGTGGAGCTTGCGATGGGTGTGCTGACAGTTGATTGCTCTACAGAAGGAGAACCACAGTGGTATGGAGGATCTTTCCAGAGCTCCGATTGACTTATTGGGATATGAATGGGTTTATGGGGGAGCTGGATTGAAATGATGTAACTAACGGTGTTTCCAGCTCATACCATCTCTCAGCGTCTGCGCAACCTGAAGAAGATCCCCCCGGAGTTGATTCCTCTTGGTATGTCGCGTTACGAGATTGCTATCATTCTGTGTTTGGGAACATTGCTAATTGTATTCTTCTCAATTCAGGTGTTGTCCTTGCGTATGTTTTTCTATCCACGATCCTACATACACATTGAGCTTCTGTTTCCCCCGCCATTCTCCCCCTTTAACCCCGCTGACGGATACTCCAGTGTCGCCCTTGGAGCTGCCGGTTACTCCCTGACCAATAAGCTCTTGACCGACAAGACCCTGCGTCTCTACCGCAACAGCCCCGAGCAGCGTGAGCACTAAAATGTACTGCATGATGACATTCCGTTGTACCGTTGAGGCTTTGTATTATGCACAGGGAAGTTCGTTGTTGCAGGAGAAATAGCAAGGACAGCAAACAAATTAAAAACAATCATGCTCGAATTCGGCGTGTGTGTATATAGTACGGATCGTGAATGGAGGGATCTGTCGGAAACAATATCCTACCAGATCACCGGTCGTCGGGATCTTTTCCCTTTCTTTTTGGTAGGCTTGGTGCTCATTCGGGTTTCGGACCTGCAACGTCCAGCTGCTCCAGTCCTTGCATGGGGTCCTGGGGTCGCTCATTTGATTCCTCCTCAGCTTGTTCTGTCGCAAGCTTGTCTTCTTCACTGACGGCGTGCTTCGCCAAATAGCCCTCCTGTACATCCAATATCAGTAATTTGAATACCAACGTAGTTGTGTGTAACGTACCTGCTCCCAAATCGCAGTCTTACTACCCAGTCCTTCATTGCTATCCTTCTGTGGCTTGGCCGCAGCAACCTTTATTGTGCGTCCGAAGAGCTCGCTGCCATCCATGTTGTCGATTGCCTCTGTCGCATCCTGCGGGAGATCAAACTCCACATACCCAAACCCCCGATGGAGATCTGTCGAAGAGGGAGCATCTGGCTTGGGGAGAGTAATATCCACGACTTCACCGAAAGGTACAAATGCTTCTGCCAGTGTTTGTGTTGTTACGGCCTGGTCGAGACCTCCGACATAGACAGTGCTTTTGAGGCGGGCTGTTTCGCTCATTTTTCCGTTTTTCTCAGGCGCAAAAGAAGAAAAGGTAACTCTCCTATATGTGTTTAATCCTATTAAGACCAAAAAAGCTCAATTCCGGCAGATAAGAGGAAGACGTCCAGTTGCTACTCGCAGAGTTGCTGTATGTCGCTGTCTAGACTTTCCGCCGCTGATATCACGTGTCTTCCTCGAGCGCCCAAGTGGGTTTAGGGCGGTTCGTTCCCCCGGTCCCTCCAGGAGGACACTTGGTTGCTCGACTTTACCAGATCGCTTCAACTCCATTACTATTAGACACGCGAGAAGAAGGAATTCAGTGCCTTTCTTCGACTGGTGAAGATTCATTGTTTGTTTTTGTTTTTTGACTTGTTTATTTACGCCTACGTGTTAATATTTATTCCCGCTTCGGTGCTCTCCTGATCCGACTACTATATTCAGCAGCATGGTACGTCTGAGGGACATTCCCCGGACGGCCACCTTTGCTTGGTCTCCCGGCGCGGCCTCGCCATTGGTTGCTACCGGTACTCGGGCCGGCGCTGTCGACGTTAATTTCTCGAACGAAACATGCCTGGAGCTGTGGGATCTCGGGTTGGGTCGTCAGGACGGCGAGGAACTGCAGCCGGTGGGCAAGATTAGCACAGACTCGGGGTATGCTTGATCTCATTACACCTTTGAAAGCAACGGGAAATGGGCTAATTGGCAATTCGTCTAGTTTCAACGACCTCGCATGGACCGAATCCGAAGATAACTCGCGGGGTGTGATTGCTGGTGCTCTGGAGAATGGCTCGTTGGATCTGTGGGATGCTGATAAGCTGCTCAACGGCGCAAGGTTTGTTGGATTTTCCAGGTTCTGGGGGTAAACGTTAGTTGGGCTGACTTATGGTATCCAACCCAAGTGACCCCGTGATCTCGAGAACAACCAAGCACTCGGGAGCCATCAAGGCGCTCCAATTCAACCCCAAACACCCCAACCTTCTCGCAACCGGAGGCGCAAATGGAGAACTTTATATTTCCGATCTCAACAATATGGAAAGCTCGTTCCGACTGGGAAGTGCCGCTGCCCGTGCCGATGATATCGAATGCTTGGATTGGAATAAGAAGGTCGCGCATATTCTGGTCACTGGTAGCAGTTCAGGTTTTGTGACCGTGTGGGATGTCAAGACAAAGAGAGAGACTTTGACCCTCAACAATGTGGGACGGAAAGCGGTCAGCTCCGTGGCTTGGGACCCCGAAAAGCCCACGAGACTCGTTACTGCTACGCTGGACGATCAAATGATTCATGTCTGGGATCTCCGCAATTCCCATGCTCCAGAAAGGGTAAGCTTGAATTACTTCAAATGCGGAGAACAGCGTCTGACTTGTTTCCTATAGAGTCTCAGAGGCCACGAAGCTGGCGTCCTGTCGCTTTCGTGGTGTAATCAGGACCGCGACCTGCTCCTCTCCTCCGGCAAGGATAACCGCACGCTCTGCTGGAACCCGCAAACCAGCGAAGCCTACGGAGAATTTCCCGTGGTCACCAACTGGACCTTCCAGACTCGCTGGAACCCTCACAACCCCAATTTCTTCGCCACCGCCTCATTCGATGGTAAAATCTCGGTCCAGACTATTCAGAACACCCGCACCGAAACCGTGGAGGCCATTGCCGATCAGAACCAGGCCCTTGACGGTGAAGACTTCTTCGCGAGGGCACAGACTCAGCCGCAAGTGTCCAACTTCTCGCTTCCGAAGGCCCCCAAGTGGCTTGAGAGACCATGCGGTGCCTCTTTCGGTTTCGGTGGCCGCGTCGTTTCCATTGGATTGGCTGAGAAGGGCAAGCGCGGATCGAATATCAAGATTACCCCGTTCGAAGTCGACGAATCCGTTGGAAAGGCTACCGAGACCTTCGAGACTGCTCTCAAGGAGGGTGATCTCCGCAGCATTTGCGAAACTAGGGCTACGGATGCGGCCAGTGAGGAGGACAAGTCTGACTGGAAGGTCATTGAAGCTTTGATTTCAGAGAACCCCAAGAAGGGCATTATCGAATACCTTGGCTTCCAGGACCAATCCGCCGATGAGGCTGCCGAGAGTCTGGCTAAGCTTGGATTGGACAAGGAGGAAGAAACCAATGGCGAAGAGAAGAAGGAGCCGGAGAAAGAACTAGAGAAGGAAAAGCAATCCCGCGGGCCGGGAGCGAAGAAGCACAAGCGCCTGCAATCGATGTTCAATGATACAACCCCGGAAGCTGATGCCTTCCTATCGGACATCGCAGCGTCCAAGGAAGCCAAGATCAACAATCCATTCCAGATCTTCAACGGCTCCGAATCTGATGCGGAGAAGGGAATCACCAGGGCTCTTCTTTTGGGAGACTTTGAGAGGGCTGTTGACGTCGCTCTCAAGGAGGACCGTTTGTCCGACGCTTTCATGATTGCCATCTGTGGCGGCCCTAAGTGTGTCGAGAAGGCCCAAGAGCACTACTTCTCGAAGCAAACCGACGGCCCGAACTACATTCGCTTGCTTGCGTCGATCGTTGGAAAGAACCTCTGGGATGTTGTGCACAACGCTGACCTGTCCAACTGGAAGGAGGTCATGGCTGCTCTCTGCACCTTCGCTGACGAGAAGGAGTTTGCCGACCTCTGCGAGGCTCTCGGTGACCGTTTGGAAGACCAGATTCGCGCATCGGATGACAAGGTTGCCCGCAAGGATGCTTCTCTCTGTTTCTTGGTTGGCTCTAAGCTGGAGAAGGTGGTCGGCATCTGGACGGAAGAGCTCCGCGAGAACGAGCAGAAGGGTCTTGAAACCGCGACTGACAGTTCTTCCTTCTCCGTCCACGTTCGTGCTCTCCAGGGGTTGATTGAGAAGGTGACTATCTTCCGCCAGGTCACTAACTTCCAGGACACGGAGCGGGCCAAGGAGGCAGACTGGAAGCTCGGCAACTTGTACGACAAGTACATCGAATACGCGGATGTCGTTGCTACGCATGGACGACTTCAAATCGCGCAGCAGTACCTTGATCTCGTGCCGGTGAAGCACCCCGAGGCTGAGATCGCCCGCAGCCGCATCCAGTTGGCGATGAGACAGGCCGCTCCTAAGCGGGGCCAGGCAACTACTGCTCCTGCTACCAGGGCACAGGCTACCAGACCTCTTCCTCCTCAGCCTGCCGCGTTCCAACCTCCGACGAGCTTCACTCCGGCTGCTGCCCCTCAGAACCCTTATGTTCAAACTACAGCAGCCACCCCCTATACCCCGGCTGCGGCTGTGAACCTTTATGCTCCAACTGCGGCGGTGACACCTCAACCCTCCTCGAACCCTTACACTCCCGCTGGCGCTGGCAGCTATGCTCCCACTGGGTACCAACCTACTGCGCCGTTAGCATTTGGTGCACCCCCAGGTGCCTCCGTTCCTCCTCCCCCTCGTGCGTCGTCTAGTCAATCGCCTGCGAATGTCTCCACTTACACCACTGCTACCAACCTCCCCGCATGGAACGACTTGCCAGATGACTTTATGAAGTCGTCGCGCCGTGCAACCCCTGCAGCCAGTGGTCGTGCTGTCGGTTCACCCTTCCCGAACCAGTCGCCAACCCTCACCCAGGGTCCTCCCCCAGTTGGACCTCCGACTGCTCAGCGGCCGCCTTCGGTGCCTCCGCCGCCAAAGGGCCCTGCTCCTCCTCCGCGCATGATGTCGCCGCCCTCGGCTGTGCCTCCACCTTCAATGGTGCCTGGCCCTACTCCTGCGAACCCCTACGCTTCCTTACCCCAGTCTCCCCAGCTTGCAAACCCCATGGGTGCACCGGGGCCAATTCCTCGCGGGGCTTCGCCTTACAACCCTCCGCCGTCCATGCCGCCGCCAACGAACAGGTATGCTCCGAGCCCGGCGGCCCAGAGCCCACAGCTTCAAAGCCGAGTTCCGGTTCCTCCTCCGGCTCAAGCCGTGCCTTCGCCATACGCACCTCAACAGCCCCCTGTGGCAAGCAGTCCTTACGCACCAACTCCATCTGCAGCTGTTCCCCCGCCGCCAATGCAGCAGACCCCTCAAGGCCCTGGTTCCCGGCCCAGCACCGCATCGTCGCAGAAGCGGGCCACCCCGGCACCTCCCAAGTACCGTAAGTAAAACACAGCATCTCTCGTATCATGACCAAGCTAATCTCTACAAACAGCACCGGGTGACCGCTCCCACATCCCCGCGGACGCCTTGCCCGTCTACGAGATCCTCTCCGCAGACATGCAGCGCGTCAGGGGCCGCGCTCCATCTTCCTTCAAGGCACAGGTCGACGACGCTGAGCGCCGGTTGAACATTCTCTTCGACCACCTCAACAACGAAGACCTGCTCAAGCCGAACACCATCGCAGACATGACGCAGCTGGCACAGGCTATTCAGGCTCGCGACTACGAGACCGCCCGGACGATCCATGTTGAGATCATGGCCAACAGGATGGAGGAGTGCGGTAACTGGATGGTAAGTCCCGACGATCTCAGAATACAAGGGTTACGGTGCTAACAGGTGACATAGGTTGGTGTGAAGCGCCTCATTAGCATGAGTCGGGCTACCCCTTAAAGGTCTGAGTTGTTGGACACGGTATAGAGATAACGATGTTCTATTGTAGAAAAGACGGATTGGATCGGTTGAGTGATGATGATTCGCGAGTGTGATATAAACGTTGTATGCCTTTTTACTTGTTTTAATTTATTCCTATGGCTTGTTATTCTGGTTTGTGTGGGATATCTACATTAGTTCATGAGGTTAGACATTCTTATCGCGCCCTACACAAGAAAGTTTGAGCCTCCCTTTTCATCTAACTGACCCTTTCGCCTAAGTCTACGCGCATTTGTCGCCTGGCTTTTGATGTTTATATGCTCGAGGCGGGTCCCTTGGTCTATATATAGCGTGCTTGATCGGCTGCCCACTCCACTCTATGACAATCCTACTGAAAAGCCATCTAGTTCAAGGAATATGTCAGCCCTCAACCACAACACAAAAATACCCAGTATTTCGCCAGTTTGGAACCTTGAATATGAATTACGAAAGAGAATCACCTAGCGGCCCCCACATCTGCACCATCTCGCGCTAAATAATAATAGGATCAAGCACGAATGACCATTTCCCATCCATCAACCATCCATCCAACACCGCCATGGGGCTAACCCAACTACCCGCTGAAACCCTATGGGCCATCGCATCCTACTCCCCCCCTCCAAAGAGACGCCTACGCCTTGATCAAAACCAACCGCCATGTATACAACCTACTCAATAAGTTCCTGTGCCATTTCAACAGTCGGTATCATCGGCGCTGCCTCATACCCGCCACCGAGCGCAGAAACATCCCCCAGATAACAAGTCTACTAGATGGCCTACGAGTAGCCCGTAATAAAGCGCGCTCACCACCCTTACACCCAAGTGCACAGGAAAGCGAAGAAGATAAGGAGGAATGCACCGAAGACCGCGACTCCTACTGGACAGACATCTTCACCCACCCCCTCTACCATCAGGGCTACAACATCCAGGAAATACTAAGCATCCAACGCGCCCTACTCGTCGCCGTTCGCCGCGGATATCGTAACGCTCCTACTAGACCACAGTGTGCAGATCAACTTCTACCGCGGCTTTCAGGGTCCACCGCCAGAGTATACTCGCACCAGGCCGCGAACTCGTGAACTCAACCCCCCGCCACTTTTCCTCGCCGCGCATTCTGGGCACCTGGAAGTGGTTAAGTTGTTGCTTGAGCGAGGCGCAGATGCAAATCTCTACGCGCCGTTGCCGCTATATGGCGCTGTTGAGGATACTCGGCGGGATATCATTACCCTGCTGTTGAAGTACGGCGTGGGGTCGCAGACAGCCGCGTTAAAGCTGGCCGTGCTACGCGGGGATGAGAGTATGGCGCGTTTTTTTCTTGATAATGGTTTCAGGGTGCAGAAGTATGGCTGTTCTGCGCTGTATGCTGCTAAGATGAAGGGTGACCGAGATATGGTGGACTTGTTGGAGTCCCGGGGTGCGATACTGGGGTTACTTGGTGAGGGTGATAGGGAGAATTGGGATGAAGAGGATGGGGATGGTAATTGGCGTCCTGGTCGTGTGCGTACTATGTTTGTCCATTGGTGTGATGAGGTGGTTGAGGAGAGTGATGCAGAGGAAGATGATTGATTGGGTCCCAGTGTAGGGATGAAGATGGCTGTCGTAGGTTTATTAGGGTTTGTGGGGACAAGGTATCTGCGCAAAATGTATATCGGATTGAGGGGGATGAAGTAGAGATTAAGAAGGATATAGAAGGATATAGAAGAAGGATATAGAAGGACAGAAGAAACTGGAGGAGGCGCTAAATTAGGGAATGTATATACCATGACTATCAACCTGCTATATATCGACAACTACATATGTACTGAAACCACCGTGCAACTACCGACTAATCGGAATACCACTTCCCACTCTCCCCCGGCTAGTAGGGAAATTCTTCGCACTCAACAAAGCACCCTTGACGCCTCGAATCTCTGACCTAAAGCCAGAAATCGCATCTTCCTCGCTCTTAGCAACTCCCGCTGCACCATTAGACGAATCGCCGGTCGAGCTCCATGAGCCGTATCCCGTGGTGTAGCTGGGGCTACTGTAGATCAAGCTGTCCAAGTAGTAGTGCATGTCTCTGAGACTGCTGCGCAGGTTGTCGTCCTGGGTGGTTGATTCGTCCTCTGTGCTGGCGACCTCGCGCAATTGGGAGTTGATGTTCTCGAGATGGCTGATGTGGTTGGTCACCGCCGTGTTGGGACTGGGTTTCTCCTCCGCTGGCTTGTCTTCCGAAACAGGGGGTGCGATGTCTTGAGGGGCTGTTTGCGTGCCGATATCCCGGTGGAAGAGCTCGGCCGGGTCCGAAGTGATAGAGTCCAAGTCATCGTCGCGATCAAAGTCTTCTGAACCCCTACCTGCACGGATGGCGAGCTCGGGAGGAATGACGGAGACGTTCTGCTCGAGTTTCTCGTTTAACTTGCGCAGGTTCTGTTTTGTGTTTTGGGCGAAGTCGTGGCGTGCGCTCGTTAGGTTGGCAATCATCGGTTTCACGAGGTATTCGCTGGCACCGTACATGCTAGCCCCTAGGCCCAGAGCGCCGTAGAGAGTGTAAAAGATGCTGTTGACTGACACAAGCGGTGGTGGCTTGGGTTGCTTAGTGAGGAATTCAGGATAGGTGATGATTGGCGGCACATCGCGTGGTGAGCTTTGGGTTGTTGATGGCGACGATGATGGTGCTGGGGACGGCGGCGAAGAGGTGGAGGGAGTTAGGACTTGAGATTCCTGCGACGCTGATGATACAGATACATTGTCGGCTGCATCTGATGACTTCTCATTCTTATTTGAGTTGTTCGTAGCATCATTAGAGTCGGATGTAGACGTGGTATCGCTGCTGCCGCTGGCTTCAGCATTTCGCGAGACTCCAAGAAGGCTTTCGATCTCGTCTCCCTGCAGTCCCTTTGACTCCAAGAAAGCTATCTTGCGTCCGGTAGCCTCGTTCTTGATCGAATCATCCTCTAGAAATTTGGCTGCTTGCTCCAGGAGAGTTGATCGGGAGGTCGTATCGTTATCATCGGAGGTCTGCGATGGCGCTTCCGAGGCGGAGGGAGTGGATTCCGTGTTGTTTGCTTGTTGCCATGCCGGAATAGATGGATTTGTGGACTTGTCGTCAGCCATAATGCCAGTTGGAGAGAAGTTCTGCGATGTTGTTTTGTAGGGAAGATGAAGATGAAGAGACGGTGACGGAGAGGCTGGCATATGAGATGCGACCTCGGCTGTAATGATGGTATGGTATTGTCACATTTAGGCACACCGCCCGGCAGAAACAAGCACGGCGTCAGGGCCAAATCGCCGACAAGCACCAGGAAAGCCCTTTAAAGAAACACGCCGGAATCGAATCAAAAGCGCCGTGTGGAAGTCCAAATTGTCTCCCCGGATCCCTGCTGATTGCCAAATTGCAACAATTCACTTTCCGAGTGGTGGTGTGGTCACTTTTGCCGCGTTGCATTCACTGATCCCAAGTAAGCCACCACCATCCTTGTTCATCAGCCCCAAAGGAACAACATGCGCAATCGCATTGGCAGTGTCTCGTTTATTTCGGCGTCAATTCCCGCTTCTGTGTCTTCCGATTGCCCTGCCATGAGTTGTGACAAGATGGGGGTGGACGGTCTGTGTGTATCCGGAGTGCATGTGTTTTGAATGTTTGCTGGTTGGATGATGGGATGAGGTTACTACTATTATACGGCAATGAGGTTGTCATTCACATCTTGCCTTTTAGCCGTTGTGCTTACCTGATTCCTGCTCTTGCCGTTTGGTTCTCCTTCATCCCACTCCTCCATCGTCACCTGGGCCTGTTCTCCATCGCTCCTGCCGGTTTTCTACAACCGAATGCGACGGCTATAGAAATAAAAGAACGCCCAGCATCTTTATTCCCAAGCCGTTTTACGTTTCTATTTCTCCATCACCAGCTTCCTTTTCTATTTTTGGCCTGCCATCATGTCCCCACGTCGTTCTCTGCGTCCTCGCGCCATGCGCGCAACTCCCCAGGAACCGGATTCTAACATGGAAACCAGGTCGAACAGACTCACTCGCTCCTCCACGAACTCCTCTCCTCCTGTGACGATATTCCGAGCCCCAGTTTCTCCAGGCCAACTAGGGAAGTCTCTCCGTTTGATCATCAAGATGCGTTCAAGCAAGCTCCGCGAGGCGACCAACGCATCAAAACGCAACATTTTCACGGAAGACCCTATCGTGATCGGACCACGCACGAGCCGTCCGAGAAAGAAGCTGGTGGAGATTAATACGAGCGATGAAGAAAATTTGAGTGACCAAGAAGAGGACGAGGTTGATGACGACGACGCAGCCGGTGATGAGGACGAGGATGCCGACGCTGATGGTGATTTAGACATGGACGATGCACCGCCTCAGCCACCATCTAGACGACATGCGAGGGCGGCTGCGACTTCTACGCCGTCTCGAAGACAAGTCAAGAGCGTTGAGGCCAAGGAGATGGAGGTAGAAAATGATGATGATGGTGATGATGATGATGATGATGATGATGATGAACTGTCTGAGTTGGGTTCGGATGCAGAAGGCGAGCCTGACGACGATGGAAATGCAGAATTAGACGAGGAAGATGAGGAGGGCCTTGACAGTGATGACGCCAATGCAGACATCGGCAAAATGACAAAACGGCAAAGAGGGTCATTGGGCAACGACTTTTTGCAGCTGCCAATGGGTAAATACTACCAATGCTTCTTTATAGGGCTTTCCGGCTAACAATGAGTAGAACCCCAGATAAAGAAGCATTTGACGGCTGAAGAGCGTGCCATGCGTCGTGCTGAGATGGCACGACGGCGGAAGAACCTCAGCGAGAAGCGCAACGAGGAAGAAAAGGTACGTCGGATAGCTGCTCCCATATTGCTCAACTATATTCTAACATGGATATAGATGGACACGATTAACAGGCTGTTGAGAAAACAACCCCCCAAGAAGCGAGGTCGCGGCGCCGCTGAAGGGGCAGACGCTACTCCTGGCGAACAAGAAGCACAAGAGCTCCAGAAACAGAAAGCGGATCCTACCATGATCAGATGGGTTAGCAATCGTCAGGGTAGCCAGTTGAGTGTTCCTGAGGAATGGCTCGGTACTCCTGCAGGGCGTCTGCTTGGGGAAAATCAAACGGGGTCTAGGAAACTTGTTGAGGAGGTCTGATGGTATGCATGTTATGAAATGGGTGGTAATGGAGCCCGGCGTATTTGGGATATGGTTCATTGGTTAATGTATGGGAATGTACTACATTTTTTATCTTCATTTTTCTTTGCAGGCTAGAGAAGCAGCCGCAGAAGCACTACACATCACTATTAATAATATGAGGCGCCATGCAGTGTGCTTGGATACTAGCATAATACTAGCATGTATTGAGTGCTAGCCGGTCATGAACGGCATTACAGGTTGGAAGTTATACAACAGTTCTGTCATTGGCCACGATGCCCAATTTCCTGCTCTCTCCGTAATTTGACTCTGCTCTTACGGGACAATCCTGTCCTGTGCGTCTTCCTTCCAGGCCGGTTATGGCCTTTTTATAGAATGGCGCGAGTCGACTTCTAGCGTCTAGCAACATGGTCTACCGATGTCGTCCTCAATGCCCATATTCCCCGTATAACCCGGTATCGATCTTTTTGTTCTCCCCATTTCCCGCGAAAACCGGCACCCAAATAGCGGTCCTTGGCCCATTATCGTTCCATGGCGGTTTGCTGACGGCCGAAATCGTCGAGACAGTGGCTTATTTCCCGGAATTATTGGAGTCGTTCGCAAGGTCAGATGGCGTAGAAGCCGATGCTTCTTGCTTCTCTGTTGACTGTTCCTGCTGTCTGGATTTCAGGTCACTTTAACAGTGCTGTATCAGTACTTGTATGATGGAAAGGACGAAGAGGGAGGAATATATCGGAAGTCACATGGCCATGCGACTGCGACTGCGATGGCGTACTCTTTTGAGAAGTTTTTCTCATGCTCTAGGTCTTTCAATGCGGGCTGGAAGGTGTAGTATCCTGCGAGACAAGCATGTCAGTTGTGGGCTGCATGCGCACGGTATACAAGTGCATACCTGTAAAAACACCCATGCCAATTGCCAGCACTGCCGGAATGAAATTTCGACTCATTATGAACCAAGATAAATAAACAGATAAGTTATCCTGGGCGTAAAGCTTGATAGTTGAAGTCCCCGGCCCGAACGGGTTTAATCGCCAAATTCCGCCGCCGTCGCGTCTCCCACATTTCCGACGCGTCTTCCGCAAAGGGAAGCAACTTTTCGACATCACACCTCGAACCTCACTTTGTACCCTTTCAACGTCTATATTTCAACAGTTCTCGTATCCGCCTTGGGAAACGAAACGTCCGCGAGACAAATCTACCTGCGAAATCCGCAAACGAAGTAATGGCCGCCTAAGGAGATGGGCCATCAGCGCCAAGCACACAAATGGAATCATGGCGGGAACGAGGGTATGTGCCGGACTCGGACGAGGAAGATGGACTGGACAGTCAGGAGAAGTTGAGTGGGGAGGACGAGGAAGAGAAGGTGGTGGATGGGTCGCAGGATTTGGGGTCGGGGGAAGTCGCTGCTCCTGCTACGGCTGGGAAGAGGAGTGGACAAGGGTTACGAGGTGAAGATGAGGGTGATGGGGAATCGCAGGATGAGCCTCTGGATGATGGGGAGGATGTGAATAGGTCTCGACAAGATACACCAGCCCAGGCCAGTGACGGACCGGCGAATCAAGGAGATAAGGACGAGGACGAAAACGAGCGCCGCGAACCGACTTCCTTGGCAGAAACACCCCAGGATGACACGACGGATGACGAGACGGATTCGCAAGCTACGCCCGTAGTGAAAAGGAACGACCAGAATGCCCCTCGATCTCCCAGCTTGCCTGCACGAGACGCCGGTGGACCTTCGACTCCGCAACGGACGAGCGATGAATGGGATGTTCCTGATTCTTCGCCGGATGAACTGCAGACGGAAGTTCTTACCACTCGGATATCGAAACACATTTCTCTCCCCCCTAGGCCTGGTCGTACACCTAGACATGCACCTAGAAGGCGATCACCCAAACACACGCCTATCCCTGCGCCTAGCAGACGCTTACCCGAACGCACACCTACCCCTGCACCTACCGAACACGCACAGCAGACCAATGAAAACGAGGGTGTTGACGATTCTCCCCTGTCATCTGCGCCGTCATCTCTCCATTCGGTACGCCTGGATGATGGAAATGAACAAAATAAGCCGGAGAGCCAGCATGAGGACAATCTGGAGGAAATTCGGCCGGAAGACAACCTGGAAGATCTACTCCCTCACCTTGACATTCCGGACGATGTACTACAAGAACTATCCCATCCGGCACGAAGGTCACTAAGAGAACGCAATCCCATTCAGTTACACCCGTATCTCCTCGAGGACGCCAAATACCAACGCCTTATGAAGGCAGGAGGCATCAAGCCGGTGCGCATTGCTCAAATTCAACAAGCACTACGTGAACAGGCTGCTGCGAATGAGGAGAGTCAAGGCCAGGATTTCGTCAATGCTGAACCCCCGTCAAGCAGCCCGGCTGGTAATTTTGAATTCCCGTCTTCTCCTGCAGAGCCTCGGATCCCTGAAAGGCGACCACGTCAGAGCACCCCGGAGCATGACCGTCAGCGCGAATTTCAGTTCCCAGGCCATTCGCCAAGAGCTCCTCGCTCAGCGAAGCGGCGAAAGGTATCACATCCGAATAGGACCCACCATCACCAAAGGGAACAGCCGCTACATACTAGCCTCGGCATTTATAATGGTGTCGCCAATCGGGGAGACTCAGCTTTTGATATCCCGCTTAGCCCACCACGATCGGGGAGCGTCTCCTCAGCGCACACCGCGCAAGCCCAGTCTGGCTTCCGGTTCCCTCCAGGGTTTACGCCGCCTGCGTTGAATACACCAGTCACAGAACCGAGAACCAACAGAAGAGACGTTGGCGATGAAAGTGCCATGGACTGGTCTGGTCCCAACGCTGACGTCCAGTCAGTTAGTGCGGGATCAGCCTCTTCTCACAGTCAACCAAACTCTGATGTTGAAAATAACCAAGAGGACCAGGAACGCGCTGTCAGAGCTTTGCAGCGTAAGATAAAAGGTGTTCTTCCGGCATCATGGCTTCGACTTGACAAAGAGAAACAAAAGGATAAAATTAGTTTGATCCAAAGGAATCGTGATAGGGCTGCTTCCCACAGACCAGAGAATGCGAAAGGTGTTGCGAAAAAAATCATGAGAAGGACTGACTCGGGGACCACACCAAATGCAAGAGCGCAGTTAACATCTTTGAGTCATCTTGCTGATGACGATAATGAAGGAAGTGATGGTAGCGACGGTGGTAGACCCCTGACCGAGCAGGATCCGCAATTAACGCTGGCGGATGTGGTCGGTTTCGAAGATCCATCCTTTGATCAAGATCTGGGCGATGACATCCCAGAGGACAATCGTATTGACAACATGTTTCCGCCAGTCCCTCGAGACCCTTCATCTTCCAGCAGAACGCAAGGTGCGAAGCGTCACAGGCCCACAAAGAACGCTATGCACACTGGGAACGAGAGGAAACGGCCTCGCCTAAAACGGCAAACCAGGCTTACCGATCCAGCTTTTGAAGGCCGGAAAACGAAGCAATTTTCTTCTAGGGCTCCCAGGGTTTCCAAGTCTTCCAGAGCTCCGAGAGTTCCCAGATTGGGTATATTGGATGCTCCAGACGTGGCCGAACGGCCTAGACAGGAACAGCCAGCCTTCCTTCGAGTTGCAGCGCGGCAGGCGCGTTCACGCCGTGATAGAGGGAGACGAAGTCCGACTAGAAAGTTCTTTGACTTGGGTTCGCGAAACGATACGGAAGACGCTAATGTGTCTTTGCATAACTGGCGACGAGGGAAGCTTCGGCAGACTCGCTTAGAGCCACTGCGCAGACCTCAAGTAAGGCAGCCTTTGATGGATCTTTCTACTAATGGGCGGGATACGCAACATAACCCTGAGGGCCGCAATGCTCAAGAGGCCAGGGCAAGTAGTGTCCACATAACAGGAGCGGCCGTCCGGCCTGACAATGATATTGCACCAGAGCACGTTCCGGGATTAAATGTCCCTGCACCTGCGGCACCAACGTCGAAAAGAAACATCACGCCGAGAAGGCCCGGATTATCTGAAGTGCAAGGCAACAAATGGATCGTCCGTCGGAATCTTGCTATCACGTCCCTGAAGCGAAACACCCCAAGGCCGGCGGGGTTGGAAGCGGAAAACACCAGCAGCAACATGTTGTCTTCGTCGTTTCAACGATCATTGTCCGTGCTCAATCAAGATTATTGGCATAGGCGCGCACATCAAGCAGAGAGGCCGAGTCTAACACTGGATCGATTTCTTTCTGATAGTGTCGCATCGGCTACTCCACGTGCCGTTCAGAAAGCAGCAGTTCCAGCTGAACGGTCATCCAGGTTGAATGATACCCCACTGAATTCCCAACCTCAACCAAAACGCCGTCAGCTAAAGAAGCGTCCTCCGCAGAGGCTAAATCTCGACACGATTGAGCGCCAAGGACCACCAACGATCCTGTCCCCTGCTCCGGTCCCTTCTATGATAGACGCAGATGCTGGTGACCCGCAGCCTGGTCACAGAGCATCTGGCGGGTTATCTGGATTCCGGCGCACGTACACGATTGATTTCGATGTCGCGCCTTTGTATCCCGGGACGTTCTTTCATGAGTCTACATTCGTGGGAAGCGGGGAATTTGCTCGTTCTCTTGAGCTGGGCTCGCGCGATATGGATGAGGATGCCGGTCTTTTTCACATGACCATTGGGAGTCGGAATTTCCGTTGGGGTGCTTGGAATGATACCGTGTCTTCGGAACTTGGGATTGCTTTTGAGAAACTCTTTGAACGAATCGAAATGGATAACACAGCCAGCCCGGTGCCACATTCGGAGAGCTCTCTGAATCAACAGCCGTACAGAATACACAGGTCGATCATCAAATACACTACAGAGGTCTTGTCATTCATAGATCCGATTGATAGGTCAGAGTTTGTGACAAAAGCTCATGATCTTGTTTCCGGTCTCAACGATCATCTCGCAACCTTGATCTCGGCCAATCGTAATACCAGCCACTTGATGAAGATTGCTTCGTACAATGCAGTATTCGCGAACCAGGTATTCCATATTGCTCGCGATGGCTTGGTCAATGATACTATTGCAAGCGAGGCCATGGAGCTTGTCAAATCGGCTTCCAAACAGGTCATTGCCTTTTTGTCGAGCCCGTCGGGTATGGCAGATATTCGCAAATTCCTCGATGAGCAACGACTAAATGAAAATCGTGAAGTCGGTATCCATGATGACCATTCGGCTGTCGAATCCTACGTTATTGCTAGGCATGTGTTGGGAGGCTTTGATCAATTCAAGGGCTGCTTTGAAAGCTTTGCCGCGGAGGCCTACTTGCTGTCAGATGCCATCGAACTGACCAACTCGAAAGACGTGGCATCACTTGAAAAAGGATGGCGTAGCCTCTTCACGACGTTGCCTCTCAACGAAATCGACAAATCTGGAATCGCTCGAATCGGGTCCCGATTCAGACAAGCGTACGACAACTGGTCAGTTGTCAAGCAGCTTCTGCGCCCCGTTCTGGATGAATACGATCCTAGTTTCATGGCACAACCTATTTCGTATAACAGCTACTGTCGGGCTTTGTTGCACCGGTGCTTCCATCTCATTAACGCCTGGGGATGGCGGGATTGCAAACTAATACTGGACACTCTTTACGACTTCTTCGCGAAGAACACGCTCTACAACCTAAAGCATGAGGAGAGCTTCGGATCTCCCGCTTTCCTGGAAGAACTGGATCGCAATCCTTCGCCGGAGGTCAGACCAGGAGAGCCGTGCTTCCATGTTCTATTGAAGGTCACAGCGAGCGGATTACGCTTTCTGTCCAAGACATACGACAAGAAGAAGATACGGAATTTTGCCTGGCGGCTTCTACCAAACCATGGTCGAGTCTATCCGAAGGAGATGCCCATCCGGCACGAAGACCTGGATGCTCTACGGAATCATCACGATCTTCTCTGCACCCTGTATTACGCCGTTCCTGACGGATGCCGTCCTCGACTTGAGGCGATCAAGAATCTTGTTCACCCCGCCAGCTCACACCGCGAGACATGCGATATCAGCATAAGATCATGGGTTAGACTTGTTCGGTTCAAGTTATCGACGGATGAGGATGTCTCGGGGCTGGATCCATTTGCCGATTGGCATAGCTATTTCGTGACTGAGCTCCTGAAACAACACACCTTGGCTCGGAAGGAGATTGAGGCGCAAGGTAATTCAGACAGTCGCTTCTCCAAGCAATTGATCGAAAGCACGATATCACAGAATCAACGGCAAATTGAGTCCTTACTGAAGGTTGCTATTGGTGGGTTACAGAGTGCTGTGCAGTTAGCGCCAACTTTGGACCATGCGCGGAGGGTTGTATCCAAGTTGCCTATCAAGGCGATACTAGGACTCTTCAATTCTAGAGTTGCTCGTGTGAATACTGTCGTTTCTGAGGCTCTACAAGTCGTCATTACTTACACCCAGAAGTGTGATCCTCCTGCCCCGGCCCCGATTCCAGCGCCAGCTCCAGCTCCAGTGTCTACGGATGACGACAGTCAAGAATACGGGGACTGGTCTGCTATCGAAGCCGCCGCCTATGGGGATGATGAGGACGAGTTGATGCCGATAAACGAGGGAGTCGAGCACGTGGAAAAAGTCTTCCATCCAGCCGTATCCCGTCTAGTATCCAACTGCTTCGGTGAAGACCACTCTCCAGAAGACAAGATCCTCCTCGATGTTGTAGACAGCTGGACCTCTGTTGCTCAAGTGCTTGTAAACCACAAATTGCGGCATTGGGACAATTTTCTCGGTCCTTATGCTGGTGATTCCTGGGCGTCGCTTCGGTCTACGGTGCAAACTAGGAAGTTTATGCCTCAATTTCTGGCGAGCTGTGTTCGGAAAGATTCTGAACTTCTTGCTCAATGCAAATATCACGTTCTGGGTATGTGGATGTCGACATTGGTGGAGAGGACGTCGATGTTGAAGTTCCAGCATCGTTTGACGGAAGCTTTGTTGAACGAGCTATCTATGGATCCGTTGCTTGAGAACCTGCCATTCTCCAGAGATCGACTTGATGACTATTCCATTACGCTGGAAGACTTCAGTCAACGGAGACTGTCACTCATATCGAGCCTACTGTCAAATATGCGCGAGCACCTCCAGGACCTGGAAGACAACAAGAGTCCAACGTTCTCAACTACGAAGCAGGAGTATAGGGAACTTATACAGAAACTGATGTCGTCGATGAAAGCCAACTACCAGGAGCTGGGTAACAGTGGACAATCTGTCCAAGGTGCCTATGTGGACTTCGTCCACCACGTTGTTGGATTCCTGCAGCAGCATTCGAGAGACATCAGCCCTATAGATCCATTCTTCACCGATCCTACCTCGTTCCCTCTTCCATCGACTGATCCGTCGTACATTGTTGCAAGACTGAAGAGTTACGAACCGAAACTGTCCGCTGAGAAGGTGGCGAGGACATTGATCATTTTCGTGCAAGGGGTCTCTGAACGCGCGGCTATCGATGGTCAGCAGGTGTATCTTGTTGACCAACTGCACGCATCGATGGCAGATACCTATGAATCCGGGACTCCTGACCGACCAACGCTGCGGGGAATCCTGCTTCAGTGCGTATTCCCGGCCTATCTCGAGAATGCATTTAGCAATGCAGCGGCGTGGATTTTGAGTCTTCCCATACTGCAAGCAATCTCGCGCACGCTCAAGGACTTGCGATTCAACATGGACACGACGGATCCGAATTGCGTCTCATCAGTGCTCAATACCATTTGCTCCGTGTTGCAGTCGTCTTACCATTCCCTGCGTCTCATAGCAGATAATCTCAATATGCTCAAGCAACCGCCAGTCCTAATCACAGCAGCATCCTTCATCGAGATAATCACCGTCACCTTGCCTATAATCGACTATATAGACCGCACCACCGGCACAGCAGCCGTAGCTATCTCAGAGGCTCGTGCTTTCCGTCCTTTCGCCCTCTTCGCCGTTTTACACCTCCGCGGCCTGTCGTCATTCGACAACCTCATGGAAGACTTCACCCGGTCGTCCAATGTGTTTGCAGAACAGGAAACACATACAAATACGACTACAGTCCCCCGCTTCTTCCACGAAGCCTGCCACTCCGCGTCTCGTGAATTACAAGCGTACATCAATGAGAGCTGGTCCCGGCATCAGGGCAAATATTTCTTCACACGGCGGGGCGCGCACCAACCGCAGGAAGTAGGTATTGATCCTTCAATCATGGTGAAGCTGGAGAATTCGCCGGCCGCGATGTTTGAGGGTGCTGTTGGAGGACTACTGAGAGCGTTCAAGAGTCTTGATGTTTTTGATGATAGATATGATTAGACTGGGGTTTGTTGGGTTGGTAATGTGTTTTATAATGACTTTGTCTTTGTCGTATAATACCAATGATGAGATGATCCAGACATTCATTAACCGTGGGAAAAGATACAAGGAGCCCAGTCCGCATCCGCACATGAGTGCTACCTCATCGCTGTACATCCTTGGACCTCGTCAAAAGACTCGACTATTCGACAGCAGATGACAGATGCCATGGTTGGCTTTGGATACATCCGGTTTCCCACTGGGTAAAAACATCATACATGCATGCATACAGTGGGGTTTTCTTCAGCTTTCTCGGCTGCGGCTGATTGTGATAATCAACGAAACTTCACCGTGCGGCCGTTGCGTTTTCTGACCTAATGCGCCTGGAGGATTGAAGCATTGGCAACCGACATGGGCAGGATTGGCTATTGTTTATAGTTTGGGTCTTCGAACGGTCATCCATGGCGGTTCATAATGGATATTTGTGGATCGCGTATCGGACAGGCGGCAAGGGCCAGGTAGACATGAATCGGCTGAAGGATGGCGGATATACGATCGTTCATACCAATGTCCACGTGGTGCAGGATCCGACTCTGTGCCCTTCCGGTAACAAGTTGATCCTGTCATTTTCGGACATGAATTCTTAAGCGGGTAGCTTGTATTAGGGCTTAGTGTTTTTCTATAGCAATTTGATAGCAATGAATTCGTGAACTATATTACTTGAGAGTGAAGCAATCTAATAATCGACCCTGATATTCGCTCGACAACCTCGAACCTTACCAAGCAACAACAACAACAACAACAACAACAACAACAACAACGAAGCAAGCAAGTCACTCACATGGAGCATGGAGCACGATAGATCGGACCTTCTTCACGCCCACAATAAAACCACGTTAAACTGAAATCCCACCAGGGGGCAACGCCAGAGCGCCGCGCCAAATCAAACAGCAAAAACCGATCCGTTATCTTTCCAAACACCACCACGCCATCTTCCGGGATCTCCTGCTCCTGCTCCTGCGCCTGCGCGCCCTGAGCGGCATTGGTCTTCTTCTTCTTCGGCTCCTTCACGATAGTTTGTGGGAGGTTAGGGTTTCGCCAACAGTCATTCTTGGAGTTCTCATCATGATCACAGGTTGTGAAAGCTTCGGACGAAGTCATCCACACGCCTCCAGGGACATACTGAAAAGCGCAGCTGTCGGTGGGGAGATACCGGTACTCTTTGATATCGTTCAGGGTCTGAACTGTCGCAGCGAGCAAGTTCTGGCCAACAGGTAAGTGGTTACACGGGGAGTTGGCGGCTGTTGATCGAGTGCCGGTGATGAGCTCCCCCATATTAGCACCGAGCAGACAGGGTCTATCTCGAAGCAGAGCGGTCCAGTTGGCGCTGGGCCGGGGGTGGATGGTTTCCGGGCTCATTTGCCCCGCGCCGTGGACTAGGTCCATTAACTGGTAGCCTGCGATTCGGCCTCCGGTGACGTACCGGGGGGCTATCTGGCCCAAGGTCATGGCGAAGGAAGTCACCAGGTCTCCGAGTGTGCGCTGTTCCCAGATAACGAGTTCTGCGTTCTTGAGCAGGTAGTCTCGAGCGTTTTGTCCCCCCGCGGGCGTGTTGGGTGGGGGGAATTGTTTGCCGCCAAAGTCTTTGCAGTATATTGAGACCATGTAGAGTAGTAGGGATGATTCGGGGACTAGCCAGGCGCGTTTTGCTGGGACATCGTAGAGGATCCATGAATAGTGGTGACTTCTGTGCAGCATGAAATAATAGTTTGTGCTTGTGGGCATCCGGATAACGGCCGCGTTGATGATGCTAAGATTCCCTCGGAAATGTAGCAGCGGCTGTGATTCCTTGAGTGCCCATGTAGTATTGTGAGTGTGCTTATCAGTACCAATGAGTAGCTCGCCTTCCCTACTCCAGCCTATAAGCGCTGGTGCGTTTATGAGCAAGTCTAGGTCAAATGTCTGATACCACTCGCCCCTAAGACTTTCCAAATTATCGGCGCGCAGCTCCGGACCCTGGGCTTCTTTCGTCTCATAATGCCACAGAACAGACCCATCAGCTTGCCTTAAAACAGGAACCACAGCCGAATAACGACCGCACAGGATATACCCCTCCTCCACCTGCACAGGACGAGTCACTCCAGCAAGAAGAGACATCACATCAGGTCCCGTTTTGAGCAGCGGCCGCTCCGGTAGCAATTGACTCAAGCCATTCAGAAACTCAGATTCATCGAAATCGTCGTCGTCGTCGTCATCGTCGTCATCACAGCCATCACAATCACCAAGATCAAGTAGAGAAGCCACGATTCCAGTATCGAACATCTTAGTCCAACAGCTCCGCGACCAATTCGCAGGGACTAACGGCAGGAGACCAAAGATGTCTCTTTCCCATCCACCCCAGGACATGCTTATTTGGTTGGTGACGGGGGTCCTCCGGAGCATGACTAGCCAGCTTAGAGCGGCCTTGAGGGTGTTGAGGTTCGCTGTGGTCATTGAGGCGTAGAGGCATTCGATGTATTCGGGGCGGTATGTTATCACGAATCCTTTTTCTGCGTCCTGTCAGTACCTACAAGTAATAATCTCAATCAAACCAGGTAAAGGGAAACATACGACTAAAGTAGTGCTGACTAGGGTTCTCAGCAGCAGCCAGAACATCCAACCCTATAGGTCCATAGCGTCTCTCCATCTCCTCTCTCAGGATTCCAGCTTGCACATGGCCATCCTCAAGCGTGAGACAGAGATGGGTGAGGTCTTCGGCATTTTCAATTCTGTCGTTCAGATCAGTTTGGAGGCGTAGCATGCCCGAACGGGCGTCTAGCGGGTGCTCTTCGCTGTGGCCGTGGCCGTTCATGATGCTCATTTTGAACGTTAGATTTTGGACGTTAGGTGTTAAATGTTAGGAATCGTTGGAGTAGACTTTCAGTTACGTGGTTTTGCAGCCTTGGGGGCTTGGGGGCTTGGGGATGACAATGTGGTGATGCCTACAAATGTGCTCCGCCCTATAAGTCCTAAGAAATCGTTTACTGTTGTTTTAGTTGGCTATAGTAGTTGACATTCCGTCGTTACAAATAATGATGCAACGACAACAACAAAAGCAGCGGTGCTTATGGTTCAGTCTACAGATATCAAATATCCCATCATAAAAAGTTTACATGAAAACACCCCTCAACCCATCAATAACACTCCCACGAGACATCCACGCTAGCCTCCCTGCAAACCACATCGATCCCACCAAAGCAACCCCTCCCAGCGCACTAACCGCATACAAATCCCAATTTTTAGCCTTATACGCCGGCATGCGCATATCAGCAGTCTGCAAATGCATGGGCCGCAATTCCTTCCCTTCATCATCGAAGCGTAACTCGTTATCGTACATGAGCTCTTCGACCAGATCAGCTGCATAGTCTTTGCGCTTCGCAGTGACGTGTGCGATGCGTTTCATGCGTAGAACGTTGCGCTTGTAGTGTCCTTCGCCGTCGGACTGGAGGATCTGTTTTGCCTTGGTGTACAGCTCATCAGACGTAAAGTGAAACTTGTTAAGTGGTTCCGCGACGCCAGCTGCGACAATACGGGTAGTGTTTGCAATCTGGTCGAAGAAGAAGCCCATAGAAATACATGGTTTCCCGTGGTAGAGGGCTTCGTTGGTGCTGGAGCCGCCGCCGTGGGTGAAGTAGAGCTTGGTGGAGTCGTGGTCTAGGATTGCACGTTGGGGGGCGAAGAAGGGGAAGAGCCAGTCGGGGTGTTTGTTGTTGATTAGTTCACTTAGTTGAATGGTGCTGTCTTTGATATCGAAGGTCTGGTTTGGGTCTAGGTCTTGCCCACTGTCCTTGCCAACGGCCCAGATGACTCCATCTATCAGCTGCTCCTGCATAAGACGCGCAACTCCATTGACGATCTTGACAGCATCCTGATGAGACACAATGATATGCGTTCCCAGCGAGATATACAAAACCGACTGGTGTCCATCCAGAAACGCCTTATAACCCTCATCCAACGGAGTAAACCTAGGGCTCAAAAGCGGCCCCACCGGCACACAAGTAGGCGGCAAATCGCGCGGAATCTCAAGCCCAAAGAACGAATTCACCAGGACCAAATAATCCGGCTTCTCCAGACGATGCGGGGGCTTATATACCCCATTCGCCCGCCGCATCCGCTTCGTCCAGTTCATCCACTTCAGAATAGCGCCCAGACCCGTCACCACGACCAACTCGTTCTTAATGCGTAGCCACATAGACGCCGTCTCGGAGGTAAGCGTTCCTTCGAGCTGAAAATCCGGCTGACTGGGGATGTAGGGACAGGGGAGCATGAGGAAGGGCATATTGGGCCACACCACTGCGATAGGTAACCGGTACTCGACGTGAATGTCCTTGACTGCATCGACGAAGAAATCCGCAATTATCATGCTGGGCCTAGACTCTGCACTGTCCATCATCCTCTTGAGACCGTGGTAAGTCTGCGGCCAGAACGAATCAAACATGTACTTGGACTCCATTGATGCCCCTAGTCCTTTGGAGATATCCCACGCTTGTGAGCGGCGGTAGTGCGCTTCTAGTTGTTCGTCTGTTGGGCCAGGGCCTAGGAGATGTACTTTGGTGACGAAGCCATATTCCTGCACCCAGTGTTCCTGGCCCTCCAGGGTTGCGAATTCGATCGTGTGGCCGCGCGATGCCAGAGCTCTGCCGATTTCTAGCACGGGGGCTGCGTGTGTGAATCCTCCTGTTGTTACGACTAGGAGGATTTTCCGGAGTGGGTGTATTGACTTGTCCATGGTGGAGTGTCGTTGTGCGAGGGTGGTGTTTAGTTGTGTAGTTCCTTCCGGATATATATCTGGAGGGATTATTCAAGGATGACTCTTTGATTGTACCCCGCCAAACACGAGATCCTGCCACAGACGGCGATTTTTGGAAGATATCACAACAAAAAAATAAACAACGGTAGATATAATGTCCTATAGTGAAACATTGTCATATCAATGCCAATGTTTGGCTGCTCTCCCACGCATACACCACCGAGGGCAAGAAAAACCCAGAAGGATCATAATGAATTACACACTATAATAATAGTATGATATACCAATGCAAATAAAACCAAGTACATCTCCAGATATCATCAGAATCACTTTGACCGCCATCAAAATCACAATAACTAGCTTGCGTATAGCATCAAACCCAAGATAAATCCAAAGCCGTTACTCATTTTTTCACATCATAACTCTTTTTTTTTTTTTTTTTTTTTTTTTTTTTTTTTTGAAGTCCCCGTCACAGACAGAGCGTTATCTCCCATTCGACGGCCCCGGACTCCCCGGATGTTCATGGTGATGCCCGCTCCCATGACTCGACCCCCTGCGATGGAACGGATGATGATGCGGATGGAACCCTGAGAAATGCAGAACCTTGCGCACAGCACTTGCAACACCACCCTTCTTCTTTGTCTCTTTCTCCGCGCCGTCATCCTTCTTCTTTACCGTCGCGTCGTCTTGCAGGACGATATTGGTAGCGGCGGGTTTCGGCGGCCACTGCCCGTCTGCTTTCCAGCCTTGTACCATGGCTTTTGTCACGTCGGCGAGGTTGATGGGGACTGTCGGGGTGAGGGATTGCACAATGACTTTGCTGTAGATGGAGGGGTACATGCTTGATGTGATGGAGGCGCGGATGGGGTTTGTTTCGGAGAGGATGGAGGGGACGATGGGGATGTAGGATTCGTCGGCGACGGAGTAGGGTGTCGAGGAGGAGTCTGGGGAGGGGATTTCGTGATTCTGATGGTCGTCTTCTGGTAGAGGATCTGATTCCGTAATATTCGACTCGGTGGGTTGTTGCGGTTTATCCTCTTGCGCATCACTCCCAGTAATAGTAAGCGACTCCTCCGTCTTCGCAGCAAGCGCAGAACCATCACCATCCGTCGCATCACCAACACCCGTTGCAGCATTATCCCCACCACCACTATCACCAGTGCCATTAGCCGCACCATCCCTCAACCTCTCCTCCCTCTCACTAATCTCCCTCCTCGTCCTAGCCCCCGACCACGCCTCCCTCCTCTCAGCCCAAATCCTCAACCCCTCGTTCCACCCAATTTCCTCCTCAACAGCCCTCCTCCTCTTCCTCCTCCGCTCCTCCTCCGGCCCCGACCCCAAACCCTCCGCCTCCCTCTCCAACTCCGCATCCCCATCATCACTCTCGGGCTCAAACTCAGAACACGAATCTTCGTAGTCGCGCGGTCGCCATTCCTTAACGTCGCGCTCGGAGATCGGCCATGCGGTTTGGAAGCGTGGACCTGTCGTGGTAGTTGAGGGCTCGAAGATCCAATCGTTGCGGACGATGTCGCGGATGTAGCGCTTTGCTTCGCGGATTGCGGCGTCGCGGGTTTCGGGGGTTGTCATTTTATTTTTATTTTTATTTTTTTGCCCCTTTTTGGGGTATAATGGGTGGGTATAATAGGTGGGTATGAAGAGAAGGGTGTCTTTTCCGATGGTGATGTCAAACAAAGGTGTGAACTCGATCTCGGACTGAGAATATTTCTTTTCGGTTTCTCTTTTTTTGCTAGTTAGTTATGTGCTTCTTGTGACTAAGCCATGGTAATCCGGGGAAGAGGAAGAAGAAGAAGAAGAAGAAGAAGAAGAAGAAGAAGTAGAAGAAGAGAAAGGCGACAGTGGCGGAGGAATGACAAACGGAGAAAATTGTGTCAGGCGATATACCGCGGGATTCCGCCCCGCGCAGTCCCGAATTGTAGATGTTTGCCCCTAGTGCGGAGTAGGGTAAGTGTATATAGTTATAGATTCATTTCTATGTTTTGACTATTCGTACATATCGCAGTGCATCAAGTTCGGTCATGTCGTTAATATTACACAAAAAGAGAAAAACAAGTATAGAAGTTTAGATGTCCATTCCAAACAGAAAGAAAAGCAAATCATTCTAAGTCCGTACACGCGCCGTATCAGTACCTCCTTCGTCCCCCTTCGCAGGAATGAATCCCCACCCGGAACTCTTCTTGCGCCGACCCTTGCGGTCTCCGTATTGTTCGTCGAATTTCCGGATCGCGGAGAGCGATGACATGTCTTCGCTGATTGACGCGCTGATTTCTTCCATACCGCGCTCGAAGTGTGTCCAGGTGAGTGTTCGTCGGGCGGGATACTGATAGGGTTCTGGGCCCTGGTGCTGCGCTGCTGCGTCGTTTTCTTCACGGACGCAGGCCAATGCGGTGGATACAGACAGGTTCTTGAGGTCGGAGCCGGAGTAGAGGGGTGTTCGACGGGCGAGTTCGGCCAGGTCCACTGCTGGGTCTAGAGTTTCCTCCTTGAGGTGGATCTTGAGGATCGCCAGACGGTCTTGTTCTGTGGGGAGGTCGACGAGGAGTCGTCGCGGGAGACGGCGGAGGACTGCATCGTCTAGGTCAAACGGTCTGTTGGTGGCGACCATGATGAAGGCTGAGAGGTCGTTCATTCCGTCCCATTCGCGGAGGAACTGGTTGATGAGTTCGCGGTGCGAAGTGCGGCTGCTGGAGCCGGTACGCGAGCAGAAGATGGCGTCTGCTTCGTCGATGAACACCACGCACGGACTTAACTTCTTGGCTAATGTGAAGATGGCTTTGACGTTCTTTTCTCCTTCTCCGACGTACATGTCGTAGATGTCGGATCCGCTGACCTCGAGGACTGTCGCGCCACTTTCGCGGGCCACGGCCTTGGCCAGAAGGGTTTTACCGGTACCGGGTGGTCCGTAAAGTAGTAGGCCCGGGATCTTGTCTGTCGACAAGACACCGTATGTGAAGGCTTCAGGGCGGATGAGGGAGAGCGAGGTGAGGGTCTTCAGGGCATCGATTGCCTCGGGCTGGACGTGAACATCCGAAAATGTTGTACGGATGTTCTTTGCATCCACAACACCGTTCAATAGTTTCTTTTCATGGGTATTGCAAGTCTTGCGTAATGACCCTAATAACTTTTCTCTGTCATTGTTAGAGTCTGAAGTTTTCGTTTTCGGTGACCGTTCTTGCAACCACGCGTTCTTGACACGGTCTGTCCTTTGCATCATCTCCAATCCATGTTGGAGATGCTCAAAGCCAAAAGATTCATTCTCTTTAACACTTCCCAGCGCGAGCGTGGCGGCCCAGTGTATTTGGCCATACGACCAATACCGCTCTTCAAGTCCGGTGTCCTTGATCATTGTAGGATCTAACGGCCACGCGCGAGTGTTGAGAATGTCGTCCTTTGTGGCCGATGCATGTTCATAAAGTCGTGTCCGAAGCATATCTTGCATGTGTCGAATGTTAATATCCAAAGTCCGCCGCTTTCGATCTTGTGTAAAGGTCTTTTCAACCTCTTGCGAGCTCGTGGCCGGTGTGAGAACGAGCATTTGTGAGAAGTGGTCATCGAATGCATTCTGCATAAGTCTTGATGCGTCCTGAGAGTCAGGGCCAACATCTTGGGCTGCCGTTCCAACCAGCAACACGCGCGAGCCGGCTTTCCGCCGCTCTTGGATGACTTGTTGCAGTAGGGATACAAATCGGGAACCTTCCCGGGTGCCTTGGATTTCGCCGTAGTCCTGAACCTGCACGATGATGTCGCGAGATGGTTCCTGCTTGGGAGCTTCGGAAGAGTCTTCCGCTGGTGCTGCCGATTTAGATGGTTTTTGTGCAGGCTTGCTGGGAGACGAGGAGAGGAGTTCATTGAGAAGCCGCAGCCGCCGGTCCTCTACCCGGTCGCCGCTTGGTTGCGCTCCAGACGCACTGGAAGTGTCCGCAGGGCCGCTAATAGAAGCCACGAGAGACTTCAAGCCGAGCCAGTTCGGCAGCGGAATATCGCCAGCGTCTTTCGAGCTCTCGATGGTGATGAATTTCGGAATCCCTGAGCTTGGTCTGAAATTTGACGACGGGCCCGAACTGTCCATCATATCTGAATCGTCGGCATCACCATCCTCCTGCCAGGCCTCAGAAAGCGATGGGCGATATACTTCATACCCAAGCGATCTGATTGGCGATGTCACGCCGCTGTCTGCCAAATCCTGCTCACTGCACAGCTGAGCGATATCCTGAGCATTGAGCGTCACCAAATCCGTACTCAACTCCTGCGCGAGCCTCTTGACCACCGCGTCCAAGAAGACGATCCCATCGTTACCCGGGTAGTGAAGAACCAAATGCGTCTTCTTCGCAGAAGGTTCCTTTGCGTATTTTGCAGGCGGAAGCCGTATTCCTGCCCTGGCAGAGGCAAACAATTCCTCCCATAATGCTTCCGACAAGGCATACCGGTTTTCCGACGGAGGCTCACCAGCTCCGGGCTGACCTCCTTCTCCATCACCACCCTGCGCTTTCTTCTGGGTGTCCTCCATTTGTGCCTCGGTGCCCGATTTATCTATAACGACCTGCTGCGGCGCCTGAATCGCAGTTTGTCCTTCACCCTTGTGAATAACCGTATTCCGCTCATGAAACCAATCGGGAATCGCAGCAGCCGGCGCCGTCCATTCCTTGCCCGGTTTCCGATTCCTCAACGCCCTGCGTATCCCCGAGCCATACGGTCCGGACTCTTTCTTCCCCAGGGCATCTGTAGGCGGCGTCGCAGCGTTCGAAGTCTCGTTACTACCCTCGGGAAACCCATTCAGCGCCGAAACGTCATTGGCAATATTTTCCGGCACGGGATTCTGCCCCCCAGAAGGATCCGACGGCGTTGCGGACAGATATCTCTGCGAAATATGAAATCGGCGCGCAGGAGAACACGACGCGAGGACGGTGGGATAGCGACGACGGGCGATAAATCGACACGGACGGACACGGGCAAGTGACGAAAGCAACTTGCCTTGATGCATTGACGGGTACATCCGGGGCTAACGTGGCCACCGGAATTTTTGTAATTTTTCACAGATTGCCGATGCTGTATGTAGCGAGCGTCTGCATCAGCTGGTTTGGGGGAGACGAGGGGTACGTCAATGTTCTGTCTTTTTTGCTCTGCTGGGTTTCCTTTTCGGGCGGCGAGGTCGGGCACGTGATTGATTTGTCATCACAGCAGATTCGAGGCTCTTTTTCTCTCTTCTTTTTGCCGTCTGTACAGATGTACAGGGTATTAACTGATTGAGAACTATATTTATATCCTTATAGATTTAGGGAGACTCAATAAACCAAATGCTAAGCGCCCATGTTCGCGCGTAGAGGAGAACCTAACCATAACAATCGTACCCTAACTACGGAGTAGTATTTCCATCTGAACTCCATCTCCAGGCATATACCATTCCTTCTGCGTATACAATGAGACAAACCGGACCAGGAGGAGAGTGGGGTATAGTAGCATCATCATTCCAGGGCCTCCCTGGTAAAGTAACTGCCAGTGCCTGAGCGAACCTAGGGTCCGAGCGAGGCAGTGAATAGGGAAAAAAAAAAAAAAAAAAACCTCAGAGCTTACAACACGTGCAATCTACTTTCATCTCTTCTCCTTCTATTATCACAACCTTTGTTACCTCATCGTCTTCATCCTCAACAAGTGACATAATGCCACCCGTTCCACGGAACCAGCTTTAGCTGATACTTATGCCAGTGCAGCCAGATTGAGCTGAGATTGAGAAAGCCATCGTTCAACAAGCAGCGTCAGCGTCCAGCAACAATGAAAATCATCAAAGGACAACACCATGCACCAAACGAAGGAAACGAAACCCTCATCTCAACCCTCCAAACAATGTAAAAGCGCCTAGACGAACTCGATTCCAAACTCAACGCTCAAAACGCCCGGATCTCGCACCTCGAAACACTCAGCAAACCCTACATCCACATCAGAGAAAGATGCTTCACCACGCACTTGCGCAGCTTCTGGCGCGACTTTATCATTCCGTCGGATGTTGCCGTTGGAATAGGAGAGATCCGGGCCCTAATTAAGAGCCTTGTCGGTTTGCACGGGGGACATGCGGAGGCTGATGCGATTATGTTTGAGAGACGTCCTGCTAAGGAACTTCGGCCGTTTGTGCATGTCTATGACGTGCAGCCTGCTATTACTAGGGAGATTGGTAGGTCTGGCTTTCTATTCGCAATGGGTTGTTGCTGATACATGTTTCATGATAGCGTCGAAGGGATATAAGGGGATCATGAAGATGCTTGATACTGTTGGAGGTTTTCATTTGCTGAATTATTTCCTTAAGAGGAACAGAAGGTCTTTATCAGGCGGAGGTGGTTTGCAGGGATTTTCCTTTCGAGGATTGAGCTTTGCTGTGTCCAGAGAGCTTGTATGAGACCATCCTAGTCATGGCTGAGGTGGGCTAAAACACACTACCCTTACGATGAAAATTCTACAGTATGCGAGTGCCATTGAGGTTCGAGAAGACGTGTAATCCATTGGTCCATTCCAGTCTATCCTAATATGCTATCGATGATACGAAACTCGATCCCTATTCTTGAACGTCGTTAGCAACAGTTCACGAAACGACTGAAAGTAATAAAAGCAATAAAAGTTCTCAGACAAGATATACTGGCAAGTAGCAGACCAACCGGGAAAGGAAGGTCCGAATCTCTCTTCATGGGCGATTCCAGAGTGTAAAGAAGAAGAAATGGGTTGTCATCTTCGAACGAGCGTAACAGAACAATTGCAGAAGCAAAAGGGAAATATGCACCAACCTTATGAGGATTCGGGTCAAATTGACCTGTCAAGTGAGTGTGGTCTGATCAGTAGCATCATCAGACACAGCCAGCAGTGGTGGTGATAGATCCAATTGCTGTGGGAAATAGTGTCACATTATGACATGCAGTTGTGTACAGACCAGCCGGTTTAGTGTACAATCCAAAAGGACTACAGGTGGTGAGAGAAAAGAAGATGATGAGAGAAGAAAGACGGAAAAGAAAATCGCGAAAAAAAATATAGCAAAGCAAACCCACCGCAACAATATTACTCCGTCCCACGTGACCTACTTTCCCAAAACAGACTAGCGTGGCACAGGCGCCGGAGTGGCAGGGAAGCAGTTAAGCCTCAAACGAAGGGAAGAAAAGGCAAAGAGTCAGAGAGAGAGAGAAGAGAAGAGCCTGAGAAAAGAAAAGAAACGACAAGATTCAAGATCGCGCCATGAACCGCTCCGTTGTCGATTTCTGCTGGTGCTGATCCAGATCTCCGTTTCCTGTCCTTGTACAGTATTCTGTATCTTCTCCTTTTTGGTCTCTGGACTCTCTGGACTCTCTATCGCTCCCTCTGCCTCCTTACGCGCTATCAAACGAACCCCTCCATACCGCTTGGGCTAGTTCCATTCTCAGTGTTTGTGTCTATCTACTACTATCCTCCTATCTCCATCTCTCAGTCTCTCCTCGTTGGAGTCGTCTCCCACTCCCCCGAATCTCCTCCACCACTACCACACTACCACTACCGCTACCACAAACCACCGCCGCCGCCAGCCACCGCCGCGATCTCTATTCTTTTTCTACGGATTATTCCATGCAGAGGATTCAAAAAAAATAAAATAAAATAAAACCTCTTCCGAATATCTGGCGCTTAGAAAGAGTGTGGATTGAGAATTGCACAATCCGGTCCGATATCGACGCCGATTTCCGTGGCTGCTTTCTTGGCCTCCGCCCCGACGCTAAAAGCGGCCCTGTTGTTCGCTCTCTGTCTTCCCTCCACGTCAGGCGCGTTCTCGATCGTCCCCCAAGACAGACGCCCTCTAGATCTTTCTTTTTATACCCCGATACCCGCTCTTCTTACTCTATTTTTTAACCTCTTTTCTTCTCATTGCTTTTTTTCCTCTCCCTCGTGTTTCGTTTATTCCTCTCTCGCGCGGGTCCCCGTGCTCGGTGAATTCGTTACCCAGCAATGATGATGGCGCAGTCGTTCGCTGCCCATCAAGGCATGCAGCAACATCCTGGTCTGCCTCCTGGTCATCCTATGGCTCACGCTCAACATCCAAATGCTATGCACCCCGGCGCTGGAATGATCCAACAGGTACACCCCGGTGTGTCGGCTCCCGGAGGACCCCAAGTCAGTCAGGCTGGCCCCATGATGGGCGCCATGCCTCCAGGTGCTACGACTGCTGGTCCTGGGGGTCCGGTACCCAATGCTCATGCTCTCTCCCACCTGGGCCCGACCCAGGCGCATCTCTTCCAGCAGCATCAATTCCCGCAGAACTGTAAGTGAAATGATTTTTTTTCTTTTTCTGATTGTGTGACGGCAGACTAATCAAATCCATTTTCGCCTCTATAGTCGCGAACAATCCCCAATTACTGCAACAACACCAACAGCAGCAATTGCTCCGTCAAAGAATGATCCTTCATCAGCAACAGCAGCAACAACAACAACAGCAGCAGCAACAGCAACAGCAACAGCACGGAGCCCTCCCCGTCTCATTACCCAATGGCACCCAAGGCTTGAACGCGGCTCAAATAGCGGCCATGCAGGCAAATCCCACGATGCGACCGGTCATTCAACAGATGCCCCACGGACAGCCTCAGATGCAGGCATCACAGCAACAACAATTACTCGCACTCCAGGCTCAACAGGCACAGCAAGCGCAGGCTCAGCAGGCGGGCAATGCTGGACAGCCCGGCCAGCCTACACCTCAGCAACGTGCCACAGCACAACCTCAAAACATGCATGAAGCACAGAGCGTCACCCCTCAACCGCAACCCGGTCCGCCCCCTCACCAGGGAAGTAGCACGCCGCAGTCGAATCCGCCTCAACCGCCGTCTCAACCCCCGGCACCACAGGCGGCAACCTCCCAGCCGCAACCGACTCCGAACCCGCCCCCTCAGCAACTTCCACAATCCCAGCAACCGATGCAGCAGCCGCAACATACTCCGCAGCTACAGCCGCAACCGCATCCGCATCCGCAGCAAGGTCCGCAAGGCATCCAGCAGGGTCCGCAGCCCACGCCAGCCATGACGCCTCAGGAGGCGCAGCTGAAAGCGCAGCAACAGCAAAACCTCATGTTGCAGCAGCGCATAGGCATGAAGAGCACGACGACCTTGTACCTTAACGCCTTCGCAGAGCAGTTGAGTAACTTTAGGGTATGTCGCGTTGAAGGAAAGGTTGAATGATTTGAAAGGGAACGAATTGCTAACATGGAACAGAGTCGCGACGAAGCCCAAGACCTTCTATATTGGCAAGAATTTGTTGACCGGTTCTATTCGCCCGGAGGCGTTTTGCGACAGGGTGTTTACAACCGTCAATCCGGTTCCAAGCAATTCGAAATATCGACTCCTGCCCTAGCACGCTACTACCTGACGCAATTCAACAGCGGTATCCGTCATATTCAGATGCTTGTCGAGGGTGTGCGGGAGACTGCATCTCCGAGCGGTGGTCACATTGTGGAAAGCGCAAAGACTTCATTTATTTACTGGTTCACGAATGATTCACAGGTTCGTATTCGCACCCGCATGGCAAGGCGATTACCCCTAACTGATTTTTTTTTCTAGTTGTTCACGAATGGGCGGTTACGGGCGTACTTTGATGCCAACCATAAAATCGAAATGCTTGACATTGTGGTTATGAATCATACGGAATATCTTCCACGGCCTCAGTTGCAGGCATTGGAGCAGGCTGAGCAACAGAAGCAAAGTCCTAAGGTGACCAAGAACGCGGGAAAACGGGGCCAGCAAAAGCAAGCAAATACGCCCTCTTTCAGTTTGCCCGAGTCGATGGTGACAGATCACGGGGTTCCGATTGCAGTATTGAGTTTCCTGGAGGTAGGTCCGTCCTCGCCATTCCTATAACCCAAATAAGCTGACCACTCATATAGGTCGCTGAGACCATCTCGCAAATGCAAATGTTGTTTCACCACTCCCAACAAAATCCTCAGATGTCTGCTACGGAGTCACTACGGAATCTCGTCAATACCCTACAAACTCAAACCCTACAAACTCAACAGACTCCTAACCTAGGCTTCATGCCAACACCCATGAATCCAGCATTACAACCGGGACAACCCCCACGAGGACCTCCAATGAATGGACCGGCGCAATTTGCATCACCGGGGATGCATCCTCTAGGGTTGCCACAAGGCTCGCCACATATTGCCGGCTCAGCACACGCTAGCCCGGCTCCTAGTCACTTGGCCGCGCCTGGCATGGTCCCGCAAGGGCAAATTCAGCCCAATGTTCACAGCGCCAGCGCAAGTCCTAACGTGAGCAACAAACGGCGGCGACAAAGTGCAATCAAAGTCGAGGATGATTCTGGGGCACCCGAGGTCAACGGGACTGGGCCTCAAGGAGGAGCCAAGGTGAAGGCTAGTCCTCGAGTGACCAAAAAGCAAAAAGGCGGCGCATAGTCTTTGCAGTTGGTCTTTTTTTCGATTTTTTATTTTTATTTTTATTTTTTTTCATTTTCGCATCACCATTTATTTGCGATGTCATATTTCAGCTGAAGAGGCGTGGAACTGGCGTACCATTGGATACCAGTGCGAGGCTATGTTTAATCTTGATTCACATTTAGGTTTTCTCTACTTATCGTTTGCGATTCTCCGCCGATTGGACATATTGGAGGTCCCCGTTTCTTGGCTCTTTTGGCTTTACTGCTTTGATATCCTGTTTACAATTGGCGACAGACTCTGGCGTTGGGATTGATTGAATGTCTGGAAATAATTTCTTCATGTTTTGGAACGACGTGGACAGCATTGCTTGTCACTCATAATCGTCTATCACCTGTATATCCGGGATTATTTTTATGGAATGAATGAGGCTTGATACCGGCCATATAGACTTTCGGCCATGTTGGCCGAGTCGGCATTCTCTCCAAGTACCATTGGGTGCGATATTCATACATGGTACACTATCATGATGGATCATTTCCTAATACTCTACGCCGTAGTCCTTGAACGTGCAGATCGTAGTACTTATTTCCGAATGCGAATGTAGTATCCGTATCTTAACAGCCGATCCGGCAGTCTCCGCCGTTCACGGCATGGCAACACTGATAGGCCCCGCATCCCCTCACCATTTTTTTCTCTTCTCACACTTCACATCTCCCACAACAATCCATTCAATTGCAATCCCACAAAATGTCTCACTCCCACGACAACGGCATCTCCCACTCTCACGACCACGATGACCCCTTCAACGGCCACGGCCACTCACACGACATCCTCGACGGCCCGGGCTCGTACGCCAACCGCGAGATGCCGTTGATCGAGGACCGGGACTGGAAGGATAGAGCGTTTACCATTGGTATCGGGGGGTGTGTTACCCTTTTTCTTTATTGATTGATTGATGGTTTAGAGGGGTGTAGTTAACGCAAGCAGACCCGTCGGATCAGGTAAAACAGCCCTGATGCTCGCGCTGAGCCGTGCCCTGCGTGACGAGTATAACATTGCCGCTGTTACGAATGATATTTTCACGAGGTACCTCTTCCCCTGCCCCAGTACCACACAATCCAATAAATAGTTGCTAACAAGGTGTATAGGGAAGACGCTGAATTCCTAACCCGCCACAAAGCCCTTCCCCCCTCCCGCATCCGCGCAATCGAAACAGGCGGCTGCCCGCACGCCGCCGTCCGCGAAGACATCTCCGCAAACCTCCTCGCCCTGCAATCCCTCCAAAAGCAATTCTCCACAGACCTGCTCCTCATCGAATCCGGCGGCGATAACCTCGCGGCCAACTACAGTCGTGAACTCGCCGATTTCATCATCTATGTTATCGATGTTGCGGGTGGTGATAAGGTTCCTAGGAAAGGTGGGCCGGGGATTACGGGGAGTGATTTGCTGGTTGTGAATAAGATTGATTTGGCGGAGATTGTGGGGGCGGATCTTAGTGTTATGGAGAGGGATGCGGCGAAGATGAGGGAGGGGGGGCCGACTGTTTTTGCGGTGGTGAAGAATGGGAAGGGAATGGGGGCTATTGTGGATTTGATTCTGAGTGCGTGGAAGGGGAGTGGTGCGTATGAGGTTAGTTTGGGGAGGTGGAGGGAGGGGGCGCCGAGGGGGTCTGGTAATGTTGATGAGTAGGTAGCTTTGTGTTTTTTTTTTAGGGTAGGAGGATGTTAATTGAAATGATTCATATGTATATCTATGGCTATCCATTAACTAGTCCAACGCCGAATATGCAGAACTTTTTGTCATATGACAGACATCTCTCGAATAGGGTATCTGGTTCACCTCACATCTTCCAACCCGGAAGAAAAGAAGCAAACAATGAATAACAAACACAAAGCCCGTAAAAGCCTACAGCTCCTTCTTCGCAAACCTCCCCAACGCAGGCCCCAACTCCTCCCTCTCCGCCTGCACCTTGTCCTTGGTCCTCGCAGCATGTTCTTTCCGCAACTGCTCCGCCTTGAGCCTCCGCTCGTCGATAACATTGCTGCGCCCCTTCTTGCGCAGATACTTCCGTAGCGCACTGTTCCTGCCTCTCCCGCGATTCTTGATTTTCTCCATGGGGTCGGGAGCCTTGTAATCCGGGTCTCTTGCCTGTCGTTCCTCCTGGTTCTTCTGGTTTCTGATGGTATCCAGTTTTCCGATAAAGGTCGGGTCCAGCGAGATCATGTCTGGCTGGAGCTTGTTGAGCAGGCCGTGGACTTCGGCTTCTTGGCGCTGGTGCGTGTTTTCGTAGGGGTTTGCCTCGAGGGCGTCGTAGTTGGGTTCTCCGGCTCCTGGGACGAGGAGGGATGCGAAGCCCTTGTCGTGTGTGACACCTAGGACATCTTCGTAGGGACACCAGCGCATGTTCTCGATGCGTTGGCCGTCGCCGCCCCAGGCCATGTAGGGGCTTTGCACTTTACCCTGGTCTGCCTGTGCGGCGTCGAAGAGGCCTCGCCAGACGCTGACCTGTGTGCCCCAGCCGACGGCCGTGAGGCCGCGGTCGCTGATTGCGACGGAGGAGCCGGGTTGGTAGCAGGAGTAGGAGTGGACTTCGCGGAACATGCGGATGTCCCAGACGTTCATTTTCTGGTCCTGGCCTGTTGACACCATGTAGCGGCCTTGGCGGTCCATTGCGAGGGAGCGGACTGGGCCGCGGTGGACGAGGGCTTTGACGAGGGGGGCTTGGGAGTTGGGGGACCAGAGTGTGACGGTTCCGTTTTGGTGGCCGAGGTGGAGGATTGCGTTGTGGGGGTTTTGGGCGAGGGCTGTTGGACTGCCTAGGCGGGTGGGGAGTTCTGCGACCATTTGGCCGGTGGATGTGTCGGTGTATTTGAGGAAACCGCTCACTTGCTGGTTTTGTTAGAATCTGTGTCCGTATAGTAGAGGTGATGAGGGACTTACCGCGCTTGCAAGAAGAAAGTGGTAGGGAAGGAATTCCAAGAACAGCGGTTCGAGATGCTTGTTCAGACAGTGCAACTCAACACCCTTGTGGTCGTAAATGTAAACGTTCCTCTTCTGCGCGACAGCAAAGAACTGATTATTGTGCAGCCACTTCGCATCCCGAACAGTCTCATTCAACTGCAACTCGCATCCCAGTCTACCATTCCGCCAATCCATCGTCGCAACATGCCCTTTCCTCCCAGCCAGCAGCAAATCGCGACCATTGCGAGAATAATCTGCGCGATACGGCCCGAGATCCTCTAACTTCAACTCAAATCCCTTCTTCGCCGTCTCAATCCCAACGTTCTCCCGGATATCGTCCTGGCGAACCTTATACGTCCTCTCCAGCTCTCCCTCGGGCTCGAGGAAACCCGCTTCATGTTCCAGCAGGATCTCAGCATCTTTGGCCTTTAGCGTCGCATCCTTGACTTTATCTTCGACGGCTTTGAGGTTGCGCTTGAGCTTTTGGTTCTTGATTGTTCGGGTTTGGACTGCTTTGCCGCGGCCGTAGGTTTTTTGCGCTTCGAAGAGGCGTTTCTTTTCTTCGCGGTTTTCGGCCGGTGTGAGGGCTTTGTCGGCCATGGTGTCAATTATAACAGCGTCAAATTTTGAATAGAAGGTAAGATGGTAGTAAAGCGCAGGACGGAGAAAAAGATGAGCGGACTTTTTTGCGGGTCCGCAAAATTCATGCCAAGAAATCCACTCGCTTGTCCACCACTTTTTTTTTTTTCTCTCCCTTCGATACAACGGCTACAGCATTATCTACCACAGCACGTCTAATTAGGTTGAATTGCCTATTATCCTGCTAAAGCAGTCAAACTGGCATCTATTCCCTTTCGCTTTAAAGGGTCCAGTGGTGCCAATATGGCGACCCAGGTGCATCACCACCGGTCCACCACCAAGGCCTCCAACAAGCCTTACAAGAGCAAACATGCCTCCAAGAGTGCCCTGAAGGACCAGGACAAGGGTGCGCTTCCTTTTCGTCCAAATTAATTCAAAAGAAACAAGCTGATAAAATACTATGTACAGGCAAAGTCGAGCGGGGTGCCCGCAAGACCCCTCACCAGCAACTCATGTCCAAACTCGACCGACGAAACCAAGCTCGCCAGAAACAACAGACAAAACACCAGGAGAAGTCGCAGACGACGAATATCTTCAACGGCCAGAATGGAGCCCCCCGCCAGGTCGCCGTGATCCCGCTTTCCGTCGATATCGATGTGACCACGACTATCCGCGCATTGAACGAGAGTGTCGACGTTTCGAACGATAATGTTTCGGGGGATCAGGTTTCTCGTGTGCGGGTTGACCGGTTCCGGCAGAACTTGCAGTATATTCCCGCCAAGTTCGATTTGATGAATGCGATGGATGTTGCACGGATGGCGGATTTCGTGGTTGTGGTGCTCTCCGCTGAGGCTGAGGTTGAGGAGCAGGGAGAGTTGCTGCTGCGGTCGATTGAGGGCCAGGGTATCTCCAATGTGATGACCGTGGTTCAGGGCCTTGACAAGGTAAACCCGGCCAAGAAACGCCCTCAAGTGGTGTCTTCTCTCAAGTCCTTCATGAACCACTTCTTCCCTTCCGTCGACAAGGTCCTCTCTTTGGATTCGAGACAAGAGTGCTCTAACGTTATCCGATCTCTCTGCACCGCGACACCCAAGGGAATTCGCTGGCGTGACGAGCGCAGCTGGATGCTTGTCGAGAACATCCAGTGGCCCGAGACCGCCGAGGACGTTGTCGACGATGTTGTGATCACCGGTGTGGTTCGCGGAAAGGGCCTGAAGTCGGACCGTATCGCACATGTCCCCGGCTGGGGTGACTTCCAGATCGATTCGATCACCGCAGCACCACTGCCAACAGGCCGCGCTAAGCGGGATGACGCCATGAACATTGACGACAACGAGTCGACCCAGGTCCTGGACACACCAACCGCGGAGCAGGACGACATGGCGGTCGTGGCACCCGAAGAAATCGAGATGGAAGATGAGATGCTTCCCGAGCCCGAAACTGAGCAGAAGGGTGTGCTGCTGGATGACCACCACTAC